TCCTCTGTGGGCTGGAGGAGGTGTTGCAGGTCCTGGTGTGAGTGTGGCACAGTGCTGCTGCTGCACCGACAGCCAGGGGGCGGCGCAGCCCGCGTGGGCAGGTGGTACTGAACGGGAACCGTTCTTCCAAGCCGCCACACAGCTTGGTTCTGAAACAGCGGCAGCGCGGGGCCGGGCAGTCCTCGTCTGTAAATCCCCTTCTCAGCTGGACGCCCGCTGCTGCCTGCTTCCCGACGTCTGCCCTCGGTCCCAGGCCCGGGGAACCTGCCTGCTCCTCGCTCCGCTCACTGCTAGTGGTCCCTTCTCTGGTGTAATGGTTGGTACATTGTGTCAACGTGAGTTTATTTTATTTCTTTTTTAATATTTTATTTTGTGAAAAAATGTAAAACAAAACTTTATAACAAAATAATAGAGTAACAATAGTTAATACATTGCGTTTGTTACCTTCAAAGTACTTGCTAAGAATATAAGATACGACATAAAAACTTCTCCAGTCCATATTAGCACGAACCTTTCTTTTCGGTGAACTGAGAGACACTAGTAACTGACTTGCATTGTTTTCCCTATTCCCTTCCATCCTCCCCCCTTTCACCCATCTTAGTTCCTTTTTCCTTTGAATAATTCTTCCCATTTTACCTTATAACTTGATAAGTTTAGAACCTTTTTTTTTTTTTTTAAGTTTAGAACTTAAACTAAGCATCTCAGCAGGGGGCCAGGGTCCTCACTTCATAAACATGCTGAGCCTGTGCAAGAGGGGGCAGGGGATGGTGTCAGTGCTGCATACCCCTGGGTGGGGATAGCCTGCTCACAGTGTAAGGCAGGAAAAGAGGCTGGCTTTCCCCTTGTGCTCTTGCTGCTTTTGCTGTCTTCTGCCACCTTGATCTCATTTTTTTTTTTTTTTTTTTTGGTACCGGGAATCGAACTCAGGATTTTGTGCTTGCCAGGCAGGCGCTTTGCCACTGAGCTATATCCCCAGCCCCCTGCCACCTTGAGCTGTTGCCCCTCACCATGCCACCCTGCCTTGGAGCCAGCTGATTACAGATGGAGACCACCACATACTGTGGGCTAACCAAACCTCTCCTTCCTTAACTTTGGGTCGTGGGTATTTTGTCTCAGCAATGAGAGAAAAGTAACTAAGACATCTGGTCTCATGAAGGGTCATGACGTGGGGCCCGGCAGGACCTGAGGGCCCCAGCAGACCTCAGCCCTTGCAGCATTCTGCCCCGCAGGGGCCGGTGGCCCTGGGCTCACCGCGGAGGCCTCGTGGGTAGTTACGCTCGCTTCCTTCTCCAGAGGACCCTGTCCTGCACGCGGTACTGTCCTGACCTGGAAGCCCGGCTTGCTGACTGTGTCGTTGGGGCATTTCTCATGCAGTTAATCCTTTATGTATGAAAGCAGAAGTATAACCTGCTGTTGTGGGAGGAACTACGACACCAAGAAAACGCTGCTGGGGCAGGTGAGGGGCAGGATTGACGATGACGTGTAGTGGAGAGGGCCAGCTGAGAGCAGCAAGTAAACCGGAAGAGATGAGACGCAGGAGCTTTGTGAGAAGTGTGCTTTGGTGGGGCCACTGTTCTTAGAAGGGTGCGTGGCTGGCGGGGGAGCCTCGGGTGAAGGGCTCGCCACCATTGCTGGGGGGTGCCCACTGTGCCCACGCTGGGCGGACAGTGTGCCCTCACCGAACCTCTGCGTCCTCCTGGGATGTCCCTGCTGTAGGAGGAGGGCCTCTGACCTCCTCGCAGATGAGCGGACGTCCCTGGTGGACACGACCCTACGCCAGCTGTCCCAGCTCACTGCTGCTCTCAGGTGGGTCTGGTGTGCTGGCCCCGGAAGGGTACTCCGGGAGGCTCACCCCGCTCTTCTCCGCCGTCACCCTCTGCAGCTGTCCCTCACCCGGGTTGCTGTGCCCTTTCCAGTCGCAGGGTGCGGCTATCAGTGTGCTCCGTGTCGTGTCTGCTCCCTGCACACCGCTGAGCCTGGTGGGGGCGGACACACCCTTTCCCGTACCCATCTCCGGTGGCCTCGTGGGTGCCGTTTAGTCACGCAGGGTCAGCCCTTTGTTTAATTGGAGGTCAATAAGAAGTGGATGTAAAATAAAGCTGAAGTTTTTTTTAATACGGTGCGATTTATAACTAATACAGTTTATTCCCAAGACTGGACAGATGAGGGATTTATGAACTCTGAAGTTCGCTACAGATTTTATATGTGATGTGGTAGGGTGTTTTGGAGAGGAGTGGTGCTTACTTACTTATCTGTTTGCACTACTGAGGATTGAACTCAGGGCCTTTGCACTGAGCTACAGCCCCAGCCTTTTTTATTCAGAGACAGGGTCTTGTTAAATCCCTAAACTGCCAAAGCTGGGCTCAAACTTGCAGTCCTCCTGCCTCAGCTTCCCAGAGTGCTAGGATTACAGATGTGGGCCAGCATACCTGGCCTTCTAGTTTTAAGTACTATATAATTGGGTGATCTTTCAGAGGAGGTCTGTACCTTCACTGCCTTTGCCAAAATCAGGAAGACTGCCCTGTTTTTTTTTTTCAAAAAGCAGGGTAGGAGTGACAGAGAATAGTAAATTTCCCTGGTAAGCTTTGCACACAGGCATTCCCCTCCCTTATAAACCTTGAGGGCGAAGAGCGTGCTTTGTGTTTTTGGTGTCTGAAATATGAATGTAGTATTTTCCCATGTTACTTAGAAGATTTCTATCCAGATTCACCCAGTGTGAATTCTAGTCAGGGATTGTTTATGAGAGTCATTTCAAAGCATATAAAATTTGGTTTCTTCCACAAGGATAAATAATTTAGAGGTGCTTGAATATTTCAGATCAGCAGTCATACACTGTTGAATACCCAGGGCTGCTGACAGATCCAAACCTCTGGTTTAAAATTGTGTAGAAAAAAAATTTAAATTGTATAGAATTCCCTGTGGAGTTGGGCACGGACAGAGGAAGTTTCTTCTGTACGTGGAAGGAAGAGTCCAACTCCAAAATCCTTGTCAGTCAAATACATGGGAAATTCAAACATGGTTAATCCCCGGAGCAGCCTGCTGATCAGTGTTGCGTAATCATTTCGGGTTGCCCAGGGTTCATCTCCTTTATTAACTCGGTGCACATATCAAGTTTAAGGAACACTTTACACTGCGTCTGACCTGAAATTTAGCTACTTACTCAGTTGGGGCAAAAAGACAAGCAGTGAAACAACCGTGACTAACCAGGAACCAGATAAACAAGCAGAAAACCACCGAACAGCATGGTTGTGCAGCACATTAACAGTGGCGTTAAGGAACCACTGTCCTTCTCTGGAAAGGGCTGGGATGGTGAGCTGACTTAAGCCGACCTGGTGTTTGCCGGTACGGTTTCCTCTGCTGTTGCACACGTCGGGAGCCTCGGCCTCCAACCTCTGCCTTGGCGCCAGCTGTGTGTCCCCTGGCTCTGCCCCGCGGGAGTGACTGATCACCCCGCTGGGTCAGTGAGGAGCAGGGACGTAAAGCACTCGAGTCTGAGCCCGCGAGTGACGGGGCTGGTGCCAGTGCAGGGGCTCGGCCTGCCAGCTTGGGTCTGTGACCAGGAGTCTTCCTGGACGTCTGTCGTCCGCACAGCCAGTGCTGCTTGGTTTCTTCCCATAAAGAGTGTTTCATGCTTTATGACTGTCCTTGGTGTTTCCCAGACATTTCGGGCCTTTGTGACCCAAAGGAAACCAACCCAGACAGCTTCTCCAGCGGAAGGTGCGGAGACTTGCCAAGGGTCTGCCGTGCTCGAGGCCCGAGGTGCTCTGACTCGAGTGTCACTGACAGCTGACCCTTCTCCAAGGAGCTGAGCTCTGTGAGGGGGAGTGCCTCATAACCAAGTGCACACTGCAGGAGGAGATGGCGCCGGGCACACTACCACCCGCCAGGGGCTGTCCCCTCCAGCGGGCACGGGCCATTGTCACAGGAAGGTTCAGTGCCGAAGGACAGCGCTCAGTTACCAGGCAGTGTTCCTGACTCCGAAAGGTCGTTCTCTCTCCCAGGGCTTGGAGTAGCAGGGGAGGCATCTGAAGTCAAGGGATCTTCGAGCTTTGGGCTCCAGATTCCTGGATGAGGACTTGTGTCCATAAGTGGCCTGGAAAACTGGATGTTTATGTAAACCTCACACCAGTTGTGAGAGGGCTACTGGTTTTACAGCACAGATACACACGCTTTCCTTCCACGTAGTTCAGTGACCTGCCATTATTTTCTCTTTAAAAATAAGCCGTCACATCTGTTGGGCAGAACATCTAAGGACTGGCTGCTAAAGGATCTTGAGCTGCTGCACCAGTAACACACTGAGTAGTGATGATTAGCATGAATTGGAATCGTGCCTGCAGTTATTAGTCATGTTACATCTCAGTGCTCGAGCTTGTTTGACCTTCATTACATCTTCAGTCTAGTTTTTTGATAGTTACAGGAACACAAGGAGCATGTGAATGCTTTGGTGAGTGTAAGGAGATAACTTTCGCTACTTTTCGTTTGTACTCACTAAACCCTGGCCACCTTAATGCGTGTTGTTAATTATAAACAACATTTGTGGCGTGTACCAGAGTGTCGAGCAGAAGCTTCTGAAGTGTTTATCAAGATGATCCCACACTGCAGAGCGAGGAGGACAGTTTTAAGAGCCTTGACATATTTTTCTAGCTAATTGCATAGCATTTCCTGAAGAAACCACCACATGCTCTGCCCAGGGTTAAAGACTGTGTTTGGTTCTATTCCTGGAGATGTAAAACAGAAACGAAGCTCTGCCGCCCCCGCCCCCAGCCTGTGTTCCTGTCCGCAGCGGGTCAGCGCCTGTCCTGCCTCGGAGCCCCTCTGCCGAACAGTGCCAGCCTCTGCGAGAGGCGGAAGCCCAGGGACAGCTCGTCTTGCTCCTTGTGGCCCAATTTCCTATTAAAACGCTACCTTGGCACAGCGTTACGGGGTTGTTCTGGTCCCGAGTTAGTGTCTTTTGTCCTTGTAGACTTACACACTGGCTCATTGAATTTCGTTCTCTACAGGAATTTTAAACAGCTGTCGAGTGAGATGGTGTTTATGACGATGAACGGAACAACCCTGAGGAATCTGGAGATCCTGCAGAATCAGGTGAGGCAGGCAAGGCCTCGGTCGTTGGACACGGAGTGCAGAAATGGTGTGGGGCACTGTCTGTTCTGAGGGGCACAGATGCCGGTGCCACTCGGTTCCTCACCTGCCTGTCACTGTGTGCCCTGATGGCCGCGTGCCCGAAGGTTGGAGAATCTGTCTGAAGTACTTCTTGGGTTTCTCAGACAGGGCCCCAGACCAGCCTCTCTAACACATGAAGGAAATGTCCATCCTGATAATTTCTGTACCAGTTGTGTCAAATATTTTCTTGGAAAAGCATCATCTGTGAGAATTAAAAGGAAGTGTATCTTTTTGTTTGGTTGCTCTGTTTTTTCCTATATTCTCTTAACTGTATTCAACCATAGTCTGTGCCATCAGTAGCATGGAAAACAAGGCCTGCCTCCATTTGACTACAGGATAGGATACATTGTGTCTCACTTTACAAACTTTCTTGGCCATTTCCTTGCTCTGTATTGATGAGCTAAAAACATGAGCAGTGTTTCCATTACTGAATTATCACTGAAGGGTGAGTTGTTATATTGTAAACTGTTACAACAAAGTTGCAAAGAAATAGCCAGCTCCAAATACAGCACCAAGTCCAAGTCAGCCTAGTAATGGAGACGAGACTCAGAACCATCTTGGGTCCAACTTCAGACCTTCCCAAAATAGTTACTGCCATTGCCAACCCAGCTTTGGGTTTCCCAGGCAAGATCCCCATTATTACGGGATCTTTTCTCCAGGGGTCTTTTCTCCTGGCCATGCTGTGAGTAGTAGAGGACCCTGCAGAGCCCTTCCCACTCTGACAGTCTGTCCCTGTGTTCTGGCCGGCTCGCTTGTGCCCAGGGACACTTTCACCTGTCCTTTCGTTATCCAGAGGTTTCTCTGGTCAGCCCTCTGGTCACGCAGACCACACCGGAGATGTGGCAGGGATGGAAGGACAGGCCTGGCGCTCTGAGCTTCCCTGGACACGTCTTCCCTGTTGAGATCCTGCTGCATGTAGTTCTGAAATCAGTTCTTTTTGTGTTTTTGTTTTTTGAAACAGTGTCTCACTGTGTAGTTTAGGCTGGCCTTGAACTTACTGTAGCTGACGCTGGCCTGGAGCTCCAGGCAATCCTCCTGCGTCAGCCTCCTGAGTGATAGGATGATAGGTGTGTGCCACCATGCCCAGCTTGTAAAATCCAGTTTCTGAGGCAAAAGTCACCTTTTAGTGTCCCTGCTGTCATCGGGACTTGATCTCTTGTAGAGACCAGAGCTGAGAATTAGCGTCCTGCACTTGTCTCTTAGCTGAGCCTGGACCTCTCTTTCCATGGAGACTCTGAGGAATTTATTCGTAGTTAATCAGACACGGCATCAGTTAGCCCTTTCTTTGTAAAAGTGTCATCCCTTTGTCGTATGTGAATGTGTGCGTATGTTTGTGTCTTTGTTCATCAAACGTCAAGGCGACACGCCTTGCGAGCCAAGCTTTGGGCTAGGTGCGGGGAATGTAAACTCAGGCTGAGTGGAACCAGCTAACGATGTGGCACGAGCGTGAGTGTCCAGCAGCGCATAAAACCTGTTTTCTCGTCTTCGCAGACTGACGGGAAGAAAAGAGGAAGTTTGCTGTGGGTGTTAGACCACACAAAAACTGCGTTCGGGAGACGGGAGCTCAAGAAGTGGGTGACCCAGCCACTGCTTAAATTAAGGTAAAAGGAATTCTTTTCTGTTTCCCCCTGCAGTCCTACACTGGGAGGTAAAGGTATGTCAGCGCCCTGGAGACCAGCTTTAGCTCGGTTTCTGAGAACACAGTTGTGACTTGGGGAGGGCTTTAGTCGTAGCTCACACTCGCTGTGTAATAGTCTGAGGGTGCCCCAGTCTTCCCTGGGAAGTCCCGCCCTGCCTCGGATTGGAAGGTGGGGTGCTCGCCAGTTCCTGTAGGCCACCGTGCACAAGGACTGGGGAGGGGCTGGAGGTCACTGCCTGTCAGGGCGGGAGGAAGCAGAGGGGTGGCAGCGGCAGGTGTGGAATGTGGTTCTGGGCACGGTGCAGATGCCGTGGCCGGGCAGCTGGTGGGGTGAGCCCGCTCAGGCGGAGAGAGGAGCTGTGTGCAGCAGGAGCAGCTTTGCCCCCGGCACCAACGGAGGGTGACTTTGCAGAAGGGAGCAGGCCCGGGCTCCGGGTCGGTGCCTGGGAGGCCACAGCTGTAGGTGTTGGTGCAGCTGAGTCTCAGAGGGCTGCAGCGCTGCCCAGCGCCAGGGCTGTGTTGCGCTGGTCTCCCTGGGGCTGGGCAGCGGGAGATCTGAGTCGTCAGTGACGGGCTCTGGGGCCTCTCATCTGCATGGTGCCCGCACTGCCTGCACAACCCCCGGAGGCCGGCGCCACTTCTGAACGCATGCTGTGTGCGCCATGCTGTGTGCTCGCATCGCTCCCCACACTGGTCCTTGGGGAGGGGGCGCCCGGGGTGAGCCGCTGCCCCTGCGTCTCACAGCAGGCGGAAGCCAGTGGCAAAGCAGCGCGCTTGCCCCCAGCCCTTAGCCACGTGGCTACACCGCAGCGTAGGCGCCTGGATGAGCATCCGGCCCTCGGGATCGGAGTGTGCGCCCTGCCCCAGGGCCGCATTTGTGTTGTCTGTGTTTTAATTTTATTTTTATTAGCACGTTTGCGGTGTGTGACGCTCACTCTCCTCGTGGGGAGTCGGCGCACGGACGCCGCGTATCTCCGTTCTTTCTACATCCCTCTCCTCTGCTCCTCCTCCTCCCCCCCTCTCCCCCTCCATCTTGTGGTCCCCTGCCTGTTTCTTATTTTATGTCATTTATTTTGCTCTTTATTTACACTTCGGGTTTCTCACGTAAGAGAAACCATGGAATATTTAAGCTCATGTGTTGATTTATTTCATTTCACCTTATGGTCTCAAGGTTCATCCATTTTCCTACAGATGACTCAAGCATTTTCTCCTTTATGGCAGAGTAGTACTCCACAGTGTGAACACCACATTTTCTTTATCCAGTCATCCTTAGACCCTTCCCCAAGCCCGCAAGCCTCCTGCGTAGATGATCTGTGAGCCCCTGTCCGGGGCCGTCGTCTCCAGTCATCGTGCGTAGTGCGGGATGGCAGATGTGGGTGCTGACGTGAGGTGGATGATCAGTCATTTTGGGTTACTGGGTCGGTCTGCTCGCCTTTCGCACCCATAGACTGAAGGCGGGAGATTGCCGAGGCGAAGGAGAAAGGCCAGAAAGGGAAGTCACTCCTCCCGCTTTGGAGTGGGTGGGAAAGAGACCTTCAGCACAAGGCAGGAGGTGGGTGGCCTCGTGTGGCCCTGTGAGGACAGTGCCGGCATGGAGGCTGCTGCAGGTGTGGCTCCGCCACGTGTCTGATGTGACGCCCGACACTGAGGAGAGTTCTGCATGTGTCCATGCTTGTCTTCCCCACGCGGCTTCCCTGCCTGTGTGCTGCAGGAGGGCCCGAGATGAGCGCGGCACACTTTCTGCGTGCTCCGCGGGGCCAGGCCTGTGCTTCTTGGGTCCCCTCCCAGGAAGGCACAGAGAGGGTCTGTTGCCCTCCCAGCACTGCAGAGCGAAGGACGAACCTTCCTGTGGCTCTGAACAAAGGCAACACAGTTTTCTGCTTTGTAATTTTAAGTCAAGGTTTTAAAGCTTTCATCGTCCTAACCCATTAAATACACGTGCCGAGTCCCAGCTCAACCCAAATGGCGCTGGCCTGTCCCTGGGAGTCTCCAGCAGATTTGACCTGTGCGTGCAGAGCCGCAGGCTTGGACAACGTTTGTCTGCGCCGGACATGGGCGTGGCCTTCTGCTCTGCACAGGGTTTACACTGGCACACGCCCTGAACTGAGGAAGCTCAGGCACACCATGTTCTCATTGGCCGGGTTGGCGCTGAGGCTTCTGTCTACACTAAGTGGAGCACATGGGTTAGGGGAGCCGAGTGCAGACAGAGCCCAGAGGCGGCGGCTGTGCTGTGGACCAGGCCGTGCTGCGGACCAGGCTTGTGTGCTGACTTGCTTCCTCCTCCTCCCTTCTTCCTTCTTCCTCCTTCCTCCTTCCTTCTTCCTCCTTTCTTCTCCAGGCTTCCCAGATTGGCAGTGGGGGGCTCTGACACGCAGGCATTGAGGAACCCCAGAGTCTGCCCAGGGGTGCCCACGCAGCTCCCAGGGCATCGGGCCCTGCCCCGAAGCCGTGAGGATGAGCAGGAGGCTGGTGTGTCTGAGCGCTGTGAGCCAGGTCTACAGGTTTGTCCTCTCTGCTCCTCCCGCCCTGGCCAGAGCCGTTCTGACTGAGAGGCCATCAGACATGCGCTTTCTCCTCAAGGAGTAAGATAGGTTTAGCATTTAAATGATACATCCATTTACATTTTTAGAAGAACGTGAAGCTGTGGAAAGTTCCCCAGTCAAAGGCCCGCCCTTCATTGTGCTGCACGCTCATCCAGGGCCCCTGGGAAGCCCTGGCTCCACTAGGTTTTGCAGCGAGGGAGATACACAAATGCGTGTCCTCCCTTCGCCCCCATGACATGCCTGGTGCCGGGACATGCTGCACGCCTCCATGGGGCAGGGTGGTCACCATGTGCTGGCCTTCTGCAGTCTCGGCCACAGCGTGGCCCCCGGCTGGGGGACTTCCTTACCCCATTGGGAAGGCGTCACCCTGTGAGGGGCCGGGGGTGCAGGTCGTGAGTGCTTTCGTACCTCGGACAGAACATTCACCTGTACACACTGCTCTGCTTTGTACCACAGTTGGGGGAAGCGAAGAATGCTTCTATAACTCAGGTTAGGTTTCCAGAGAACAGCCAAAGAGCAGCAGGCGCGCTAAGTTAGTTCCTGGCAGTGAAGTCCCGTAAATAATTAAAATTAAAGGGACGGAAAGTTGTTTGTGTTGGGAATTAGTTCCTTGTCTACATTTTTGTGTGGTTTCTTACACCATGAAGCACATTTCCTTGCTAGTTAATTCTCTGGCATCGTTAAAGGCTGCTGTTTGGTAAGCCTGCGCTGTGACGTAGAGTGGCCGTCTTTCTAAGCCGGCACCCTGGCCTGAGTGACGAGGTCACAGGACGTCAGCACGTCTCCTTCTGCTTCACATCCGATTTGTCCTGGCAGACCGAGTGCACCCTGAAGTCAGCGCTGCACGGAGTTCCGTGGACCTGCTGGGGAGCCGGCAGCGGGTGGCGGGAGGCTCGGAACTGGCCGTGGTGACGGCTGGTCCTGTGTGTCTGCAGAACGGGGTGGAAAGAAGCCGCCGCGGCCCAGGAGGACGTGCTCCTGGGCCCTCCCCCGAGTGCTCTCCCCCGAGCTGTGGACGCACGCGGGGCCCCGGGCTGGGGGAGGAGCACTGGGAGTGGGGAGCAATATTTTGTTTCCCTCTTGGTTCTCCACGTTTCCCTTTCTCCAGCTCTCTGCCTCAGTTAGTGATTTCCCAACTATGTAGCCTCAAAATGCTACTGGAAAACTGTATGATCCGGGACTTTTGTGACCTGAAAGTCGCTCCATGTGAAATACCTAGACACGTTAGATAAAGTGTAGCAAACATCCCTTGGGTCTCGCCTGAGCTTGTGGAGAAAAGTGAAGGAGGAAGATTGAAAAAGGAGCTGGGAAGGGAGGGGCACTCATGTGGGCTGACCCTGGCCCTCCTCGGCCTGGGGAGGAGATGATCCCGTGTCGATGGCATGTGGAGACACAGACAGGGCTGGTCCAGTCACGTTAGCGGAGTCTAGCGATAGCAGGTGATCAGGAACTCTGATGGGGGAGATGCCGAGGGTGATGTCCTGACCTTGTCTCATAGGGGGCGGTGTTGTGAGACTTCCTAACACCAGCCTCCCTCACGGGTCTGCAGCCTCCGTCTGTGCAGTCGTGTGGCCTGGCAGTGCCCAAGCTGTGAAATGGACTTAAAATAGTCTGTGCCACAGATAAATGTGCTACAACCAAGGTATGAGAGACGCAAAAGATAAAACGTGTGAAGGTAGAAATAGTTACATCAGAAGGGTGCAGGTTGATTTTAAAAGGAAACTTCATTGTTTTTAAAAACAATGGACAGGGTAAATAAAAATAGATGTAATAACTGAAGTGCACATCGAATATTCCTTTTTAAAATGATTCAGACTAGAAGTGAATTATTTTTAAACTTCGTAGCATTTGCACATATATAAGTGAGATATCTTGGGCGATAGAGCCCAAGTCTAAACAGGAAATTCATTCATGTTTCACATACACCTTATATTTGCACATATATAAGTGAGATATCTTGGGCGATAGAGCCCAAGTCTAAACAGGAAATTCATTCATGTTTCACATACACCTTATATACACACCCATAAAAGTAATCTCATGCAGTATTCTTAATAATGCTATGCTGTATGTGTGGGATCTTCACTCGTGTCCAGCCAGGGATCTGCATGTTTCTGGTTTCTCAGCAGTATGGGTATTAGAGCTTCAGAATCGAGATGCTCTACCTATACAAGATAATGTCTGAGAAATTATCTAGGAGGTAGCAGAGAGTGCCAGTGGGGTAGATGATGTGAGGACTGAAAGCCTTGCCCAGAATTATGTGCTCTAGCAGAATCTTCATCACTCATCCAGAAAAAAAATAATTTATCCAGTTAGGAGAATGAGGTGATTTCATATTCAGTATTCAAAGGGATGATAAAGGATGAAGATTTTTCACAATTCATGAGAGATGTGAATGCTTAGATTTACTACAACATACCCAAAGTGTTTAAAAAAAAACCCCACATTTTGTTAAATCACAGATGAAACGTTTACAAAGCCAGAGCTCAAAGAAAGATCACCTGTAAAGCAATTTGGGTTATAGAACTGGTTTGCTGTCTAATTTCTCCGCTTTCTTTTCGTGACTCGGATTCCTTGAGCATCCGCTGTTCTGTTTCCCCAGTACAGGTCTTTGGTGTTTGTATCTCTTCCCCCCGTCTCTTGTTCCTGTTGATTCTCACTGAGCTCGTTTCTTGTGTTATTTGGAAACTTACCTTTATGAATAATGAGGGCTAGGATGAAGGTGCCTTTCTCTGGAGAGGACTTTCGTTTGCTTCTGCCAGGTTTCAGGTGGTGTTCGTTATCTGTCTAGGAGCTTCTGGATCCAACTTCTGTTTTAGTCTGTCCAGATGGTGGTCCATGAGACTGCAGATCCCCCTTCCTGCGAGGTCGGCTGCCCACCGGGAGCCCCTCTGGCGTCTCCTCACCCCCCAGGGACTGTGCCTGGTGGGTTACCTCTGACTTCTCGCCTTCTTTTGCATTGTGGTGGAGTTATAGTTGCCCCTCTGTTAGGTTCTGATGCTCTTACGAGTGTGATTTTGTGTTCTTCTGGCTTTGTGGCTCTTGCCTTTGGGTGAGATGGTCTGGAAGTTCCTGAAGCGCAGTTCTTATTCTTGTGTTTGCAAAGCCTTGGGTCTGTGGCCTAAGTGGATACTGACGGTAGCTGTGAGAAAATTGTTCTGTGTACTATTTTGAAGAATTTAAATCATTCCCTGGTGGGTAAATGTTGCCAGATTATAACATGAGTAATAAAAACCCTTTAAAGCTTGTTGAATAATTTACAATTTACAACAAGCCAAGTGCTCAGAACAGGTCTTTAGAATGTAGTTTTATAAGTCAAGTCATGCTTTTACTTTATGACTTGGCCATTTGAGCATCTTCGTGAGTTCAGCCATTGCCCGGCTGTCCCTTTCTCTGCCTGCCTCGTCTCAGCAGCGTGCTGCTCTGTCTCCTGCTTCGAGTCTCGGGGGGCTGTGCGCTGCGGTCCGCCTTGCACCCTCCTATCCCCGGCCTGCCGTGCTGCTCCTGGTTTTCTGGGACAGCTTCTGTCTGGTCTTACCCTGCAGTTCTTCACCAACAGTAGCAGCACCCTCAGGAAACCCTCCCTGACCCCTCAGGCTCTCTCTGTGGGTTCCCACAGTACCTGCTTTATAACCCAGGTGTAATTTTATTTTATAGCAGTTAACATCAGTTCTTTTTCAGAAGTTTTACTTTTCATGCAAAGTGTAAATTCACTGTGGACGTGGGCTCAAAAGGTTTGTAGTTCACAGTTACAGCCCTAATTGCACAGCAGGTACTTTGGAAACACGCAGTCACTGTTGAGCAGGTGAATGGCACATAGGAAAATGAAGCTGGAGAGTCCGGGAAAGGACTTAGGTCTGCTTTTCTAATAGGAATGTGTTTGGGTCATCTGTTTAGCCGTATCGCAGGGGCAGTGTGTTAGTGTCTGAATTTAGTACATTCATTCTGATCATCTGTCTTTAAAACAAAGTTTTCAATAAAAAGACCAAAAAATGAAAAAAGCACGTTATCCAAACAGCCTCTGCTGAGTCTGTATTGCAGCCTTCCCCCAAATACACTTACATTTGATTGACAGGGGCATGTCCGTGAGTAGGAAGCACAGGACAGGCTCCTCTAGTGGCAAGAGCTACAGGTGCTACTGTGTTTCTGACTGACCCTGTACATGGTAGGGGGTCACCATCCCCCTCTTCTGCAAATGTGAAGACCCCAGGGACACCACTTGTAGTCCTTGGATCTTTGGGGTGGGACAGAGGAATCTTTGACATTGAGGATGGAGTGATTTGGTTTTCATTGGTTTAGATTTATAGTATTTTAAGACCAAGTGCAGGCCACTGTGACCCCTCGGAATGGTATTTTTATTGTCCTCTATTTGATGACACTACTTCCTGTTTGGTTGACTGTCACACGCATGAGATCTCCATTGAGTGCTCTAAAATAATTATTCCTTATTCTGGTGATCTGACATATTGCTTTGTTAGGGATTCTTGGAAGGTCTTATAATTCCTTCTAATTAAAAACAATTTGAAGCTGTATAAATTATTATTACTGTTTTTTAGCGGGGGTAGGTCTTACATTTACTAAAGGTAGGGAAAGAAGGATGGCTCTGCAGAGCAGGAAGAGAATCTAAATGATTTTATTTTTATTAACAACATAGAAGTCATTTTTACTCGTTTGTATTTTGATCTGCAGTAACAGTGCGATCATAGCTACCCCAAATGTGAGAGGTGGGGAACAGCACGGCACACCCTGTTCCTCTCCTCCTGCCTACTTAGATGTCTTGAATGAGTAATAATGCGCGTTCTCAAAGCAGCCGCTGACAGGCTCTGCATGGTACTCCAGTCACCGCCACCCGTCAGGTTCCGGACTCGCTCCTGTTCAGCCCTTCCTTGCTCCCTGGACACAAAGCACCTGTTTGCGTATCTCTGCCTAAGGATCGTCCACACGGTTCTTTCCAAGGTTAACTTGGGGTGCAGTCTCCCCGCTCCTGTTCTGTGCTTCCTAGTGTCTATTGAACAACTCTCACAGCCTGGGTGGTGGCGACAGGTAACGTTTTGCGAGCAGTATCCAGCCCCATGCTAGTGCTTGGTGGCACCGTTCAATTCTTACGATGTGGCCAAGAGTTCGGCCGTTTTACTCTCATGGGACGGAGACGGCAGAGCCTGGACGGGAGCAGGCGCCTGCCTTGGAGCCCAGATTCTTACCTCAAGCTCCTGTTCCCAGGGAGGGGGAGTTATAAGCAGAAAGCAGGTCGAGAACACCACCCTAGGCTGTCATAGAAGCAGCTTGCTTTGTATTTCATAGGTTTCAAAGCAACTTAGCAGAACCTTTTTAGTCTCTGAGAGGTTTATGGTTTTATGTCTGTTGAATTTCTTTCTGATAGAATTCGTAAATTCTCTCTTATCTTTGTGTTTCAGGAACACTTTCATTTTGCGGCAGTAGCTCTCTGAGTGGGCTGTCTTGTGTGCGCACAGATGGCATTATTTCATCTGTCCTTAAGCCATCTGCGGCATCAGCCCAGTCTATTCCACGGGTGTCATCTCCCAGTTACGCAAGAATGAGTTCTTAAAGTCAGACTTTATATTTGTGTAGCACTTGGGGTAAATGTTAGAGTAAAACACTGATTCATTTTATCACAACAGTTTTATGCAAAGAACATTTAGTTTTTTTTTCATCTCTTCTTGTTTTACTTTGTAGTCTTCGCATGGAGTTGAGTGCAGCCTTTGTTTCTTGAGCACAGACTGGCCCCTGGACCTGCAGGGTGGAGGATGTTCCCTGGGCACACTGGCCACGAGGCCACACAGGAGATGCAGCTGCGCGTCACACTGTGTGCAAGGAGGGAGGCCGGGCCGGGGTGGGATCAGCCCCATGTTCTGGAAAGTGGGAAGCCCAGTCCCGCAGAGGGAGGCTGGGCGAGGCAGAGCTGGGGGAGTGGAGGAGGAGAAAGGAGGAGGAATGATCAGGACAGGGGGAGGGGCTGAGTGCAGGTGGGTGGGAGGGAGCGATGATCCAGGTGAAGTAGCAGGGCCTGGGCTGTGGGTCAGGGAAAGTTCTGGGCCGGAAGTCATGGATGAGCCTGAGGGGAGTATGGTGCACACAGTTATGGTTTGGGGACATACCATCCGCAGCGTGGACAGGGGTTAAAGATGGCGGGCCTGACTTGTATAGATCCTGGGGGCAGGCCTGTGACTTACCAGGGTGACAGGAGGGAAGAGGAAGCACAGGACTGGGGCTTCACCCCATGGGAATGAGCTCCAGTTGCGTGTCGCAGAGTCTGTCGTGTTCCGCATGGAGGACGCAGCAAGAGTGAGCCCCGCGGTTGGGACAGGGCCTGTATGGGGAAAGGTGGGTGTCACGGGCTCAGGATGCCCGGAAAAAAGAATGCTGCCAAGTGTAGTCCTCAGCCCGCGCTCCGGCAGGGGCCCCGCATGACAGCAGAGGTGGACACGGCAGGACTACAGAGATAGACGCGTCTGTGCAGTTTCTGCTGTCTTCATTTCTGCCAAACCTCAGTTCATCCTCCCAGCCCTTCGCTTACTTTGGAGATGTCTCTGGAGGGCTCGGGCCCACCCGGTGTGTTGGCTCACTCGGTGTTTAATGTCATCCGTGTGGCCACCCCTACTGTGGAGCTCGGGCACGTGCGGTACGAACAGTCACACCTCATTCTGGGGGTGCTGGGCAGTGCGTGCCCATTTCAGGTTCCCCAGGGCCCACCACGTGGGGTGTGGGCATCAGCAAAGCCCTAATCTCCCGCGTCTGCCGGTGTCTCATCCTCTGCTCCTTATATGGCTGCTCCTCAGTCTCTGCTCAGTCTGCGCCATGGCTGCACACTTGAGCTGTTCAGCTACCCCGGCCAGCGCCGTGCTGCTGAAAGGTTGCACAGGCTCTGCTCTGTGTGTGTGCCTGGGGAGCCGTGCGTGCTGCTGTGTGGCTCAGAGGGTGGCCCACAGGAGGGCAGGCGTCCTCCTCGGCTGGGGTCCCCTGGAGTGCTGTGAGCGCCACAGCCTACAAGCCCAGGAGGGAGAGGACAGGACTGTCCAGTGGGCTGGCTGGAAACAACTGTCGTCCCTGCCCGCTTCATGGAGTGGGACCCACAGCCTGGTGCTCTGGACTGCAGGGGGCTGGGAGTGAGCCCTGGGTGACCCCAGCGCCAGTCTCTGCCCACTCATAATCTCCTAGGGGCCCACACTTTGATTCAGGCGTGGGGAGCAGAAGGGATGGAGCCGGGCAGCATCTCGAGGCTTGCCCAGCCCTGGCGCTCAGGCAGGTCTGTCCCCTGCTGACCCTGTGCTGTTGGTCCTCGCAGTGAGATCAACGCCCGACTCGACGCTGTCTCCGAAGTGCTACACTCAGAGTCCAGTGTGTTTGGTCAGCTCGAAAGCCAGCTGCAGAAGCTGCCCGACATCGAGAGAGGACTCGGCAGCATTTACCACAAAAAAGTGAGTGTGAGGGGTGGGGCAGCTGTGGGCCTCAGGGGTCCCCCATGGAGAAGCGGGGCGGGGGCTCCTCGTGAGTGCTGTCATCTTTGGTAGGATTTTGTAAAATCTTGCAGGTAGCATGAGAGAAAAGTTGAATCTTTAGAAATTTTAGCTGCACAAAATAAAGTTTTCCAGGTCCCACATTTGTGAATAGTGGTTTCCCCATTTTTAATGGTAGCAGCAGATCCAGTGGCCCTTCTGTGATAACGCAAGACCTTCTGCGTTGTCCTGCAAGCGCTGACCGTCATTGAAATGGGAAGCTTCCTCAGGTTTGCACTGTGGAAAAGAGAAGGCTGAGTCTCTTGCTTTTAAAGTGGCTGCTTGTGTGACCTGGCCCATGGGAAACGCACGTGTGGCTTGTGGCGGCGTCCAGACACATTTACATACTGGAGCGGTCAGAGGCAGTATTTTGATTTTATCACTTAATTTTACAATGTAAGTGATAGCTCTGACAGGAATTTTCCACATAGTGAAATAATTTACCATCAAGATATTGCTGAAATTTTTAAAAAGATGAATAAATTATGTCTATAATGATCTTCAAATTTGAGGGTGCTTTCTCCTTTTGCTAAAGTTGTTTACACACATTCCTCCCTCATTCTTGTAAACACCACGGCTGTGAGGAGATGCTGCTTCTCTCATCTTCCTGCCTGAGGTGCTCACGTTGGCTGGGCAATGTGGCTGCAGGCAGGTTTTTGACTTGCTCTTCAGTGAGGGAATTTGTAGTTAAATATGGTCCTATGTGCTTGTGGCAGTGTCTTTGGACGCCACCATGTTTGACATAGTTATCTTGACTGTATATTGCATTTTCCCGTTTGCTTCCTTTCACAAGCAGATTTTAATTTGCTCTAACACAAATCCTTGCCAACTTAATAACGTTGTTGTAGAACAATCTCCAGACGGCCAGATTTTAGTATGACCAACTTTTCATTAGTGTTTACTTTTTTGAAGTCTTTTTTATCCATGAAGTTTTCTTGGGAAAAAAACTGCAAGTCCAGCCCAAGAGCGCTTGGGATACCCAAGGATTTACATATTCATCCAGTGCCTTGGCCCATGCCATTTCTTTGTCCGACGTGATGTTTTGCTGGCACTTGCCGAAGCTGGGCTGAGAGTTTTAGGGTTGACCCTGAGGTTACAGAAGTGCCAAGACCCTGCTCCTTTGTGTCCTCGACCCAGTGCCTGACAGTGCATGCGTGTTAACTCTCCAGCAGTGAGCACATCTCCAAGCTCTGCCTTTTTGCAGGGAGAGGTGGGAGGAGCTCAAGTTTGAGCCTGGCCTGGGCAGTTTAGCAGCTTGGCGAGAGCCCCTTAAAAGAAGACATGAAAAGGGCTGGGGATGGAGCTCAGTGTAAAGGCCCTGGGTTCCATCCCCGGACCTGCCGGGAAAAGATGAACACTGACACATGCCAGAGACCTTCACTTCATCAGGAGGAAATGGACCTGAGCTAGAGTTCTGTGGATTATAATCAGAAGAGCGAGGCCCCGGGTCCTGGCCACTGGGGTGGCAGTGCCAGTCTCTGCTGCCGTGGCTTCTGCTGTGACCCTCCCGTCTCACCTCTAGCTTCACAGTGTGTCTGCTCTCGTAGGTTTGCACATTTATAAGTTTCCAGACTCTTGGAGCAGTCGCAGTGTAACTCATTGAGAAAGTGGCCAGCATGCCCGTAAGGGTGACCTGGTTTTGACATTTCCAAGTACTCTCCCTGAGGGGACCGTGACTCAGCAGAAGGAAGCTGTGCCCTGGTGCCATCTTCCTGTTTGCACAGGAATCAAGAACGCGCCTGTTGCGGCCTGAGGAGGGAGCAGGAGCGGTGGCCTGGTGGTAGCCCCAGTGCGCGGAGGCTGCACTCCCAGCGCGTTGTGTGTCTGCGTGGCTGGGCTCCGTGGTGCGTCACCGCTCTGCTCTTGAGTGTGGCTGCTGCGTGCAGCATGGCGAGAGACTCAGGTGCAGACGGCGCCACTGTATGAGGCTAAGGAATGCACTCTGGTGCTGCGGCCATGCGGAGCCTGGGCCTCTGGCTGTACGGAAAGAGCCACGAAATTCACACCAGTGGGATGTTGTGGGGATGATGATGGAGGGCCCATCCAAGCTTGCCCTGGGATGAAATAAAATTTCTTTGGATAATATTTCAAATTCAAGCTGTAGAAAATAGTGCTTGTCACTGAGACCCACGCTAACTGCTGGAAGGCAGATGCCTGCTAAGGTTGGAGGATACATGTGAGGTGCCAGCGTTTTGCAGATGCCGAGGGGGGAGGGGTTCCGGGGTTTTGTGGGCAGAAGTCTCCTTCCCGGCCCAGAAGAGTCGGAGCCCCTCTGCAGCGGGTGCGCCAGTGCCCAGCCACACACACGGCTCAGTCTTTAGTGTTCTTGCAGATGTTTGCAGCTGGCTGTGGGTGGCGCGGGAGCTATCTCCGAGCAGCCGCCTTGTGAGAGGCCTCAGCCCCTTCGCAGCTCTTGTGAACTCTGGCTTGAACACAAGGCGTTCAGACCCTGCCTTATCATTAATGTATCTTATCTAAACCTTTTTCATTTCAAGACATTCATCTTTTTTGGGCTTTGGCTTAGTTTTCTTCTTGAAGAGCAGTTTCCTGGAGCCTCAACCTGGTGTGGTTCAGAGCATGCACGCGTGCCGGCCACAGGGTGCGCTAGGGACTGAGGCTCCCGCCATCCATCTTCTCGTCTTATTGTGCCCCTGCTTCACGGGAGGCATGTGTCCCAGCAGCCTCGTGAGGGGCCCGGCGGTGCTGGCCAGAAAGGTTCTGAAACATTAACGCTGAAGTGTCTCTATTCCGTTCTGTGACTGGATGAAACGTCATGGCTCTGGCTGGGGTTCTGTAGAGGAACAGAACCTCCGGGAGTGCCTGTCATCCTGCGGGGGACGGGTCAGGCAGCTCACAGCGTCGGGGGCCACCCACAGTGGCCACGCGCACTGGGCGCTGGAGCCACATCTGCCACTCACCCCGGGAAGCCGGAGCAGGAGGGCCGGGTGTGGGTGCGTGCCAGGTTGCAGGCTGGTGGAGAGGTCCGCTCTGGGAGCCGAGAAGAGCCCGCGAGGACTGGAGCGCTTTCAAAACGGGGTGGACTTGTGCTTCTTTCCCTGGGTGTCCCCACAACCAGGGCGTCCTCCCCTCAGTGTGTGGCCTTCATGGCAGACCCCGCAGACATCTGCACTGTGCCACTGGCCCGGTGGCGCATCCTAATTCATCCTCGTGGGCAGCGTGACCAAGGCCGCGTCGCCTTCTGGTACAGGGCGGGGTGTTGACTTCCAGCTTCCGGTGCTGGCGCGTAGGCGCTGAGCATTCCGGCTCCTGAGGCTCTGTGGCTGCGCTTTGTCTCCTTCTTCCTGCTCGCTTGCGCTAGAAGCTGGGAGATGTCCTGCTCGGCGCCAGTGTTCAGAAGTGCGTGCTCATTTGCTGTGATCGTTTCTGTTTCACCCAGCATACTGCGCCCTCCAGTGCGGCAGCTTAGCTCTTGCAGTTACGGACAGTTTCCCTGACTTTCCTTTTCAAGTTCACTTGAGTAATGGATCTCCTGGACCACCTCTGCCTTTCTTCTGTATTTTCCATGTCTTTACACTTTTGCTTTATCTCCTTAGAGCTTTTATCTTCTTCATCTTCTACCTCTCCACGGAATTTTTAATTTCCACTATCATAGTTTAAGTTCTAGGAATTTTTGTTGCTTTTGTTCTCTGAATATTTCTTTTTCAAAAAATAGCTTTGCAGTCTTATTTTATGGTTATAACATCTTCTGTTTTACATTACCTGTTTTACCATGTTATGGTTATAATGTCTTCTATTTTACCGGTTTTATCAGGTGATTACTGATTTTTTTTAGGTATTTTTTCTCCAACTGATACTGGCTCTGTTCCTTCCAAGTTTTATTGTTGTTTTGGTCCTTACATTTCCTTTTAGGTGTTTTTCTCAGGTGTTCTGTCATTTTTTAAAAGTTAGAGAACTAGAAGACTGATAGGAAGGTCCATTTCATTCAGTGTAGATTTTTAAAAACAACAAAGAGATCTGAAAGGGTGCTTAGTTGGCCACGTATTAGAGACCTTCCTGGTTCCGGGGAGCTCTCCTGGCCTCTTGACTGCTGCACGCTGTGGGAGCCGAGGGCAGCCCTGGGCCTTCACACACGATTCAGCCTCTCCTGCGCTCTGCCCCAGGCCTTCCCCAGCCAGACGATGGTGTAGATACCCTGTCTACTTTTCCCGGGACCGCCTCATCTTCCATAGACAGTGCGTTTTGTCAGTGGCGGGAGAGGACAGGGTGGAGGAGTTTGACTGATTACTGCTCCTTATAGTTTGTAGTTGTTTCCTATGTTATTCTTGTGGTGTTATGCATTCCAAAACCGTGTCTTGACTGTAGTTTCAAGATGGACAGAAATTAGGTGTATGTCCTCCACCCACCCTCTCTACCAGAGCCCCCACATAAAATTATCCGTGCAGTTAAACAGTTGCAGTAGTCTAGAGATGTAAGACGGAAAATGCAAAGGCCTTCCGCCACCTCCCTGTGGCCACTGCCCACGGTAAGCAAAGTCACACGGGTCCCCTTCCAGAATGCTTCATTTCCATCTGTTTTATACGTATAAAGGTAGTGTATGGTATAAGCATACTGTATAACCTTTAACATATGTTGAAATTATGGCATTCCTGAATGATATATTCAGATACCTTAATTTTTTAGTTTCATAGTGTTTTTTCCTAGTAAGATCCCAATCAGTGGATATTTGTTTTTATCTCTTAGTATTATAAACAGTACTACTATAAATATTCAGATTCAATTTTTTTTCACTACTTATTAAAGTATGTTTTTAGATAAATGTTTTAAAGTAGCATTGCTTGGTTGAAGGGTATATGCATTTTAAAATCCTGATGGTGAGCCGATGTGCTCTTCAGAAAGGTTATGCTCCTGGTAGGGTATAAAAGTGCCTTTTATTTTCTACCCATGTGACATGGTTATTTTCAAGCTTTTAAATCTCTGACATTCTGATAAGTGAAAAATGCTACCTTGTAGCTTTAATTGGCTTATCTTTGTGTGTAAAGTTCACACCCAATCCTCCTGTAATCCTCTCTGCGGGTTGCTGCTGAGTTTGCTGGGCCTTTATTCAGCATGTTCCTGTGGATGTGAAGAGCCCACTGTGTTTGGGAGAAGTCTGCTCTTCCTGCCTCTGACATCTCTGTTCCCTCAGCTTTCATATATTTGACACAGACCTCATAGCAGAGAAGTGGTGAACAGTGTATTTTTAAATGAAAAATACCGACCACGCATTGACTTTCTCCCCTGCTCACGTCCTTTTCTTACAGCCCGAAAGCAGTTTACATGTTTAATCTCATTAGGAAGTTTGGTGGCACTAACTAGTAAACTAGTTAAAAAATTTTGCCTTTATTCCAACTTGTAAGATAGATTTCGCCTTCACACCCTTTGTGCTGTGTCAATAAAGTACTTCTCTCAGTGTTCCACCCAGGAGTTCTTCTTGATCGTCAAAACCCTCTATCACCTGAAGTCCGAGTTACAAGCATTGATGCCCGTGGTGAATTCGCATGTACAGTCCGACTTGCTCCAGAAGTGTATTTTAGAAATCCCTGAGCTGCTTGGTCCTGTGGAACACTATTTAAAGATACTTAACGAACCAGCTGCCAAGTGAGTACTGAGTGCTGAGTTCTTCCTTTGTAGCAGTAGGCATAACCCAGTGTGTTTGCTGCTGATGTGTGGCTTCTGTCTTCACTAGAATAATGATAGAAATGGCTCGAATACAGTGCAGTTAGATGTGGTTGGATACTGACATTTTGCATTTCCCTGGAAGGTGCTGCTTTGCTGTCTACTCTTAGGCAGCTGCTTGGGGGACAGGTTCAGTGTTTCGCCATGTGCCTAGCCACAATAAGATGGAGCGGAGGCGGAGCTGCATCTTAACTCCAAAACCGGTGTCAGATGGCTTCTTGTACTCATTTCCTAGATATTCAGAGTCTGCCTTCTATGCAGAATTTATATGTGGAAGCCACCCTTTGAAAGGTGTCACTGTGTAGTGCATCCCACGGGAGCTCTAGGTGAAAGGCACAAGATTCGATGTTTACATTTGTCTTTGTTTTTTGAGTAGGCAGACAACAGAGATGTAATTCCACCTCTCGGTTTCAGTGTGGGGATCACAGACTCTCCTGATGGAAGTGGCCCTAGGGTAGTTTGGTCAGTCCTCAGAAGTTAAGGGATGACCCTGTAAACACTTGAGTGGCAGAGCTGGAGTTAGAAACCCATCTTTCTGACTCTGGCCCTTTGGTCTGTTGTCATTCTGCAAAGGGGAATCGATAACGGGTCTAATTAATATGCTTCAATATGTGTATTGCATTTTTTTATATTTTAGGATTGGGGATAAAACTGAATTATTCAAAGATCTTTCTGACTTCCCTTTAATAAAAAAGAGGAAGGATGAAATTCAAGAAGTCATTGTCAAGATCCAAACACATTTGCAAGAAATACGAAAAATACTAAAAAACCCTTCAGCACAATATGTGACCGTTTCAGGACAGGAGGTAACGTCAAATGCCTGTTTCTTTTGCATTAGCTTGCAGGGAACAGGAAAGGTATTTTAAAGTGTAGACAAAAATCTGAGGGTGGTATCTAAGTATCAGTTTTCAAAAGTTTCTGTTTGTTCCTTGGACAAACTTGTTTTCATAACAAGTTTGTTTTCGTAAGAAATATTTTACTAACAATGTTTTATTAGCCTCAGGATAAATTCATGCAACATGATGTTCTATGAGTTTTGCTGTTCTGTCTTGAAATTATGTAATAGAAAACCCTGATTATTGGGAGTAGTAATTTAGAGAATTCACCTCACCCGGGGCCAGGAGAGGGGTCCTGGCTTACAGATGGGGAGACAGTCTGAAAGAGAACAAAAACAAAACTAGCCTAAAATCCCACACTTGGGGCTGGGGATTTACCTCAGTGGCACAGCGCCTGCTTGGCAGGTGCAAGGTCGTGAGTTCGAGTCCCCGTACCGGAAAACAAACAAACAAACAAACAAACAATCCTGCACTTAGTCAGTCTTCCTAAGACTGGTATTTTGCAGAGTGTGTACTTAGGTTCACAGTTTGATCTTCATATCTGATTGAGAACCCGAAAAGGGAGAGAGGTGCTTTCTCGTTGTGGTGCTGGGGCTTGAACCCAGGGCCCTGTGCGTGATAGGAAGAAATGCTTTTCCGGTGTGCCTGTCCTTTCAGCTCTATTCTGAGTCCTGAGGCGTGTCATTTCTGTCTTATGTTTAATGTGAAGATTCCAGCTGCCAGAATTTGAGAAACTTTACTTTGCTAAAATAGCAAGTTGGGAAAATCATTTTATTCATAAAAAATGGGTATTTTTCTTATTGGGCAAATTTTAATTTCAAATCAGATGTCTTAATATTATTTTGTATATTTTACCAAAAGATGGCTAATTGTAGGGTTATTTGAAATAAAGGACTGTAAATGATAGCATTTATTAAAATGTTTATACATTGGACATTTAAAAGATTTACCACTAATTTAAGCTGGCCTGTTTTTCTTAAAATTATGAAGTTGTTGTACTCGGGCAGATATTTCATAAAATGTGTTCCACTTAGAGCTGTGTATAACAAAAAGTAATTTGACCATGTTTATGTAATATTCATGATTTCACCGTGTCGGTATGTTACCTTCCAAGCACCAAATATTTAATCGCATCACTTGTGTCACAATGTGATCATGACATCGTGAAGGAAAAGGTGACCAGCCACAGTTCTGGCTCAGTGGCAAAAATCCTGTGATCATAGTGGCTTTGGGGTCAGCAGTGAGAGGGTGGGAGCGGGGCTGCTTGGTGTTAGCTGGGGAGGGCGTGGCGTAGCTGCCTGCTCTGCCACTTAGGTGCTGTGTGACCACGGTGGGGTCCCTGTGCGGGGGGACTGTCATGGGGACCAACCAAGTGAAACAGGCCTAAGTGCTTTCTGATCACGTAGCACTCTGCTCATGTACTAATGGTGATGGAGGTGCATTCACCACTTACCAGGCACTAGTTGAAGTTGAGAAGGGTGCTAGTATTTCACACACACATCTTACTTAATTCTTGTACAACAGAGAATGGGTTATTCTAGTGTCACTGGGAAGGAAGGCAAGGTTCAGAGCATCAGCCGTGTTACCCAAGGTCCGCAGCCAGTTCCAGCTCCGGTCTGCCCGACCCCAGCCTGTCCAGCCTGTCACTGTTTTCTTCCAGTCACGAGCGCCAGCCCCAGGAATCCTCCACCCCATGGACTTTATCTGATAAAATCTAGTCATTTTAGAGTCTGCACTGTTCCAAGGAAGATAAAGCTTGAGTGTTGGGAAGACAGTTTTGGCAGCTTTTAAGTAAAAGTGGGAGAAAATGATCAAGACTTCATAAGAACCGGTTACTTGTTATGATTGTAGCATTGACGGTTAAAGAGAAGCCCAGAACGGGGATCAAGTGATTGTATCACAGATGATTAGGAAGGATGCGTTATCCTTCCATTCCCTGAACCTTCGGCAGTGAGGGTGACAAGTTTGAGAGTTTTCTTGTTATTACTGACAGCATGAATTCTTGTTGGTTTTTAACAGCCTATTCTAGATTTTAACTGCTACATTTATGCAATATTATTTTAATTTTTTTGAGAAAGATTCTATTCATTCAAACACCAAATGGATTATAAATATTCACAATTCGTGTAGTCAGGTTCTGTTTTTAAAACAGACTAAAGGTTTTGGCAGATTATTTAGAGTTACTTAAAAGACTAAGGTGAGGTCCATCCAGTAGGATTGTTCTGAGACGTCAGGGAGGGAAGCCCTTATTTAACCTGTACTTGGGCTCCGTATTTGATACCCTTCTCTCCTGTCTGAAATTTTATTTCTGTACATATGGCTTTTGTCACAATTACAAAGACTTACTGAACTGAAGCATTCCTGTGTGGAACACGGATCTTATTATTACTAAGCGTGGACAGAGGAATGTGCCAGCCTGCCAAGTCTTGGGCACCCGCTCCACTTTTGATGTACTCGTTAGCATGTCAGGCCTTATTGTGTGATGATTCTGAAAGTATGGGCTCAGGAGAGGCTCATAAAGGGAAAAGTTTGTGTCATTTCCCATAGTTCACTGCTTCTGCGGCAGTCCTGGTCATCCTTTATGTCTGCAGAGAATATCTCAAAGCTAAACACAGATATGGGGCAGTACCTGGAACAGTACTGGTAAGCGGAAGTATTTGTAAAGGAAAAGGAAGTAAATACTGGGAATAACCTTTGGGAAATTTGTATTAATTCGTAACTTGCAATACATCCAGAAACCTGTTTTGTGTGTGTAAAGTATGGGACACGTTCTTTGTTAAATCTTCTAAGTAAAAAATATGTGAAAATGTGTAAGAAGGGGAGGGAGCAGAGAGAAAGGAGTGGGCTGGGTTCAGTGCTGGGAGAACCGGGGGCAGGTGCCAGTCGAGGGAGGTGTCACAGCCATGGAGCAAGGACTCCGCCTGAGCAGTCCGGGACCCCAAGGGGTGAGGACAGCTGACTTAGACAGAGTGGGTTAGGGGTTGTCTTGGTTACTTTTCTCTCACTGCTGGGGCAAAATACCCGAAACCCAAAATTAAAGAGGAAAGGTTTATTTAGCTCACAGTCTGTGGAGGTTTCAGGCCATACTCAGCTGGCCCCAAGGCAGAGTGGGATGGCACAGGGGCAGCAGTCCAGGGTGGCAGAAGACAGCAAAAGCAACAAGAGCAAAAGGGCGAGAACAAGCCTCTTTCCCCCGTTTCATTGTGAGCGGGCTATCTGCGCCTCAGGGCAGTATAGCACTCACACGATCTCCGATCACTGTGCCCTCCTGTTTCACAGGACGAGGATGTTTATAAATGAGGACCCTGGCTCCTTGCTGAGTTGCTTAGTTAAACTTCTAGACTTCTCAAGTTGGTACAATGTATCAACCATTACAGGGTCAGAGCAGGGAGCTGGCCAGGTTACATCAGGTCAGAGCGTCCCACGAACACCTCCAGAGCACTCTGGGAGAGGGCTGGGGGAGTTGCCCGGAGAACTAGCAGTGGCTTCTGGATAGCATGGGATTTTCTAGTGTTACTAAATACTTAATAAAAATCCTGGCTGATCATTCTTAGAATGTTTGAAAAACAGAATAGCTAGAAAGAAATTTCCCTATTCTATGTTGTATGGTCAAAAACATACAGTGAATATTTAAATTTTTCTTCTTCTTTTTCATTCTTCTTTGAGGCAGGGTCTCGCTGTGCAGTTCAGGCCGGCCTTAAGCTCACTTTGTAGCCCAGGCTGGTCTTGAACTTGCAACAGTCCTCCTGCCTCAGCCTCCCGAGTGCTAGGATTACAGGCATGCACTGCCACGCCCAGCTAAATTTTAATAATGCATTATGATAAAGACACTGCCATGGATCTCCCTCAGAAACCTCCCCCTCGCTGGTCCTTCTGCCCCTTTCTGAGGCAGGCTGGCGTCCTCTTGTAAGTCTTTATGGGGTATGATCTGAAACATGGGACGCTGCTGCCGAGCGCCATCTAGCAGAAGGGCAGCCTCGTGGCAACAGGACACCGTGTCCTCCCCCGCTTCGGCACTGTGTGACTCCTGGCTCTTCCCCAGAAGAATGACCATGAAGGAAACATTTTGAATCAGTTTAGGACGTCGATGCAGCCAGGATGGCACAAGTAAAGATGCTCAGGAAAGGACCCTGAGAGCTGCTGCAGGTGGCGAGAACCTTGGGACGAGCGTGCTCAAAGCGAGGGTGAGGGCGAGGGCTCTGAGGGGATTCACGGCAGCCTGGCCTTTATCGGAACAATTTTTTAAAAAGTTCCAACATTCACCGCAGTCTTCAGTCACACCGCCTACAGCTAGTGCAGCGGAGGAGACAGCGCATGGGTGACACTGGGGGAGGGCCTCAGCTGGGGGCTGAGCACCGTAGGTGCCGGGCATTCCTGTGTAGAAGATGACCTGGGGGCTTGAGCAGCAGCAGGGGGTGGCTGGGGCTTCCTGACCCCGCTCCATCTCGTCCGGCAGTGGCTGTGCGTGGTGGCTTGCTGCAGCGACAGCCTCCAGGGACCTTTGATGGTGCACACGACTCTGCAGTCCTCTTCCCAGTGCCCCGCCCCTCGTCACCGTGCACCTGCCCGGCCTCTGCGTGGCTGCCCTGGGCTCCGGGTGGTTGTCATGGAGCTGGACGCTTCTTCCCAGGGCCGCCGCTCCCCTGTGAGCCTGAGTTGTGCGCTTCGCCTCCGGGGCAGCTCCTCCGAAGGCCCGGCATCCCTCAGAGCATATTCCAATAGCAGGTTATTCAGTGCAGTGTAAAGTGACTTACCTTTCTCATCAGCTATATTTATGCTGTGGCTGTTTCATGCAGTTACTTTTCACATCCAAAGGGGCTTCTAGCTCTGCCCTCGGCCTCTCTGTACTTGGGGGCATCGTCCTTCAAAAGGTTTTGCTAAAAGTGAAAATTGGTAAAATTAGCCATTAATTCCTGTCACAACTAACGTAAAGGCTGCAGTGATTCTGTTAATGGAGAATACGTTTACAACCGGGTGGATATTGCTAGTGGAACTGTCACAAATATCTGAAACTCTGTACGTATTATAACGGATGATTGTGGGAAAAATTCCTATAGCTATCCAGAACTTAGTGACAGCCAGGCAGCTCTGTCACCTGCTTCCTGGCCGATGGGAGAAGCCTGCAGGGGTGGGGGATGGGTGAAGGGGGTTCCTGGGAGTGGAAACTAAACTCCATGAGAGAAGGCGCTTCTTTTGCCAGGCAGAGCAGTCAGGACTTACTTTATGCAAATTCTTACAGGTTTGGATTTCCTGTCAAAATCCACTGCAAAAACATCCTATTCTGTTAGGAGCAGAAGAGGGCCCATATATCTAACTAGTATAACATGTAATAATTGAATATTTAAAATTTTTGTTAGAAATTTAATCTGAGTGGAGTAATAGAATTCTTTGTTTGTTTTTGTTTTTTTGGGACATGGTTTCACTATGTAGTTCAGGCTGGCCTTGAGCTCATTTTGTAGCCCAGGCTGGCCTCAGTGATCCTCCTGTCTCAGCCTCCTGAGTACTAGGATTACAGGCGTGTTCCACCACACCCTGCCTAGTAGTAGGATTCTTAAGATAAGTGGATAAGGAGAAATAAAACAGGCTATTGATGAAAAAAAATCACTATTCGTAGAATGCATATAGTATTATAAGCATGAAAGCCCAAACTTACATACTTTATTACAAACTTCTGCTCAGTACAAATTGTGCTTTATCATAATTAATCAGATTTGCTATTCAGATGTATAAACTCTCCCAAGAAGAATGCCAGGTATGCTTTGAATGCTTAGAATATTTATCAAACTATTGTACTGTAATGAACTGTAATAGGTACCCATTTAAATGTCTGACTATTCATGTATATTTCTTTCTTCTAGTTCATGATTGAAGTGAAGAACACCGCAGTGTCTTGCATCCCTGCTGACTGGGTTAAGGTTGGAAGGTCAGTGCAGAAACCCCGCTTTCTTAGAACCAGATTTCAGTGACGTGGACAGCAGTGTGCCACGGGCTGAGGGAGCTGCTTGCTTAAAGGTGAAGCGGCTTTCCTGCCTCGATTTCCTTCTGGACATTTTGGCCAAAGAGAAAATTTTAAGTTATTTTATCATTGAGTTTAAAATATTTTCAAGAAGGTGTCTTTTTTAAAAAGTTTTTCTTCTTTTGTAGCTTACTGTTTTGCCTTGTCAGAGGGAACACAAGGAAAAACACCGAGGAACCCTCAGTTGTGAGAGTGACTTGGGTCGGGTGTGGTGGTGCACGCCTGTCATCCCTGCCCCCTGGGAGGCTGAGGCAGGGGAAGGCAGGGTGGAGTCCAGCCTGGGCACTTAGTGACTTAGCAAGATGTTGCTGACATTTAAAAGGGCTGGGGGTGTGGGTCAGGGTGAGGCCACTGGATCCCTGGTAACCACAAGGCAAGGTTAATTTGGTTGCTCGAGCTTCTGGGTGAATGCTGCGCCTGACATTTCCTTGAAGAAGCTGGAGTTTCATTTTCTACCTCAGCGGCCTCACACTTCTTCCTTTCCTAATGCTTACCGCGGCACCTGGCCCCAGGAGTTCTTCACAGTTTTTTGCAACCTGTGTCATGAATTGATGAAAATAAATTAATCCAAACTGGATCTGTGAGCCATGGCAAGACTGCCTTCTCACCTAGTTAGCGTTCACCTCCGAAAGCAGCCCCATGAGGGACGCAGTGTTGCGAAGCATGCGCCCGGTGAGCGTGTGAGCGTGTGAGCGTGTGTGTCCGCGGCCTCTGGGCCGGCCTGGCGCCATTGCTGCGGCTGCCTGGCCAGCCGGGAGAATGTCGCCTTCACCCAAGACAGGCGTAGAGACTTGCAGCCAGCAAGGGTGGAAAGCAAGCTTTGTTACAGAAGGACTGATTATTTTAATTTAAAAAGAAAACCATTCTCATTGCCACAGCTGGCCATCTTCCCTCGGCCCCGCAGCCGGTTGCCATGCGCATGTGGCCTGAGGATGCCGTTGGCTTCCTGTGCCGCTCACGTTCCTCTCCACGGCCGCGGGGAAAGGTGCTCTGAGCCTTGGCACTCTGGTGTCACGGCCGCCTGCCCAGACAGCCTGTCTCGGAAGGGAGTCTTGGCAGAGAAGGGGGTGTGATGAACGTGCACAGAAGTCTAGCTGGTCCCACGCGATGCCCCAAGCAAGGCGAGCCTCAGTGCCAGCGTCCCCGAGCAGTCTACGACGTGAGGGGGTGGACAGCAGGGAGGTCTGGGGGTCCCATGCCGTTTTAATCTGTCCTGTGGCCACCGGGGCTGAGCAGGAGCCTCACAGTGTCCTCGGCCAGATTCTGAACATGCAGGCCCACCACACCAGGCACACTGCACATGTAGGGGTACTGGTGACAGTACTATTTCAGAGGCCCAGCTCCATCCCTCAGGCGGGGAAAGACATTTAGGGGGAGCCCATTTGTGGGGTGGTGGTGCACACCCATAATCTCAGTACTGCGAGGCTGAGGCAGGAGGATCATAAGTTCAAGCCAGCCTGTGTCAGGTTAAATAACCTTTAGTTATTGCGGGATGATCAGGCCGCAATTTCCCAGGCCAGTGGACAGCGAAGGCTTAAATAAATGAGACAGTTGAAATGATTTCAGGGCTCCAGGAGGATCTAACTCTCTTACAGCTTCAGTATTCTCTGGGTTAGACAAAAACTTCTCTGGGAAGCCCATATTTATTAGGTTTTCAAACAAAGGAGGAGGATACTCAGGAAAACACACAATCTAGCAGGACCTAGGGAGAATTTCCCCAAGTAGTAAATTCTGTCAGTCAGGAGAACTACCTTACCTTTAGGTTGGTATTTATTGTAGGAATGTGGGGACTGCAGCTGCAGTCTCCTTGTAGTTAATTGGGGCTGGAGCCAGACGTCCTCAGCTGTAGCCTTATGTTGTCCTTTGAGGTGTCGCAGCTTCACAGGCCAGTACAGGCCTCAGGGTGGCCAGTGACTCACAGAGGTTCACTTACTGTGAGTCCACTGCCTATGTTCAGACAAGGTGCCTAAGCTTCAGACACCTCACAAGTAAACATGGAAAGCCAACTGGTTAATATTAAATCCTGCTCACAGCCACTCTAGTGGTCTCCATCAAGCCTGGGCAATTTAGACTTACTGAGACCATGTTTCAAAAGTTACATTAGAGAGGGCTGGGGGTGGAGCTGCGCTCGAAGGCCTTGGTTCAGCCCCCAGAACACAAACATGCCCGCAGAACACGGACATGCCCGCAGTCCGTTCTGCTGGCCGCAGTCACAGTGGCCACGCCTGGATTCGCCATCTGCTCCCCACTTGTGCCAGGTCCGGAGCAGCTCCCGCCCCTCACTGTCTCCTGAGTGCCCGCGTTTCTGTTCTCCGTGAGCCTCTTATCTTCCTGTCTCTCTGAAATCCATCCATTGTACGGAAAAGTACACAGTGTGAAAAATAACAGCCTTCCCCGTGTCCCCACCACCCCTCTGGTCACCTTACTTCAAGAATTAGCTTCTGATTGTTTAAAAGAAATGTTTCATTTAGTACAAAGACCAAAAAGCCTTTGCTTATGAAATAAAGACGCTGAGCTCTGCCTTTGCCACACAGGTACAAAGTGCAGTGCGTTTCAGAAGCTTTCTCAAGAGTCACCCTCTTCGGAAGCCTGAGTCGAGACCACAGTTAAAGACTGTTCTCTGTTCACAGCGCGGCCTCAAGGTCTTCCGGGCGGCGAGAACAACTGCTCGCGTCCCCACGCGCAGCGCAGTTACCGCTTCCGGACCTTGACTCCCGCTCTCCTTTCCCCCAGCACGAAGGCTGTGAGCCGCTTCCACTCCCCGCTGGTCGTGGAGAACTACAGACGCCTGCAGCAGCTCCGTGAGCAGCTCGTCCTTGACTGCAGTGCCGAGTGGCTCGGCTTTCTCACGTGAGTTCACGGTCACATATGTGATCTGACCTCCCACCTTGAGCAGTAGACCGGAAAAGTTTTACGTTAGAAAGAAAGGGAGAGATTGCGCTTGTGATCTGTTGTCAAACAGTGCAGTGCTGTGCTCACGGGTTTTTCCTTTCAGTCCACTGAAACATGAGCTCATCTTCATCTCTGAGAGATCAGGTAGACATGATTGTTGCTCCACTAACATTCTGCTGCTAGTGATGTTTCATAGACTCACTTTTGAAATTTCACCTTGGAATTTACCTTCTTCTCTTTTTCTTGAGACAAAGTCTCACTTTGTATTGCAGGCTGGCCTCAAACTTAGAGTGATCCTCCCGCCTCAGCCTCCCAAATGCTGGGAGCATAAGTGTGTGCCACCACGCCCTACTTACCTTCTTAAAGACTGAGTGTCTCTTTCAGAGTTGTACATGGATTTGTTTTGTTTTTGTTCTCCTTTTAATTTTTTTGCACTGTTATATGTGTATTTTCCTTTTCTTTCTTTTTTTTTTTTTAAATGTTAAAGCTGTGGAGAAGTTGAAATGACCAACGATCCACCCCTCATCTAGGCTTATTAGGTGTTCCTTTTTTGCCACATCTGTCAGTTCTCTCTCACTTACACACACAGATTTTCTCACCCATTTTGGAAGGATATTCAGCTACCGGGACTCTTCACCCTGAGTGCTGAGCACTTATCTTGTGACTGCCATGCTCTTGACCCTGAGCGGAGGTCACCTGCCAGGGCAGCAGTGGCTCTCGGATGGTGGCAGCGTGCGGCTTGCCAACCTGCCTGGGCTGGGGCCACGTGCACGTTCTGCGTGACAGCTGCTGCGCCTCTGCTGGCTCTGGGGGGTAGGGAAAGCGGGAGTCGGCGGGGGTGGCCCGTGCCAGGGCAGCACCATGAGCAGAAGTCTTGTGGTCACTTGGAAGCTGGAGTAGGAGAAACCGAGCGTCGTTCAGGGAGCTTTATGCAGGCAAGTGGGAAAAGAATGAATGAACATTTGTGAGAGTTTAAAAGGTGGCCAGGCAACAGACTGTCCCTGCCCAGAGGCTCTGCAGCAGTCCGAGGCACTTACCCTGCTCTCTGGCCCGAGTCCCGCGTGGGTGTTCTGCCTCCTCAGTCCCTTCTCCGGTCCACTTCATTTCCTCCCTGGTGTTTCAGGTAGGAAACTGTTCGTTCTTGTTGGCTTCCCTGGCGTTTTCCTGAGCATCCGCCGTGTGGTCGCTTGGCTACTGCCTGACCTGTGTCGCTAGCCTCAGCCTGCGCCTGGCCCAGGCAGAGTCGGGTCCACGACTTGGCCTGCTTCCTGCTCACTCGCATCCCTCTGCCCCGTGGGAAAGCTGGACGGGTGTGATTCCCACTACTAAAAGTTAGGAGCCTGCTGCGTGTGGACTCAGAATGCTCACCGGTGAGTTCTGAGTTTCAGTATTTCATTTTTCAAATGCGTGATTTCAGACATTTCTTTGTGCATCTGTTTCTCTAAAGTTAAAGACATAGAGAGGCTGGAATTCGGGGGCACATTTGCAGACAGCCCCACAGGCGAGGGCGCTGACTGCTGCCAGCTGCTTGTTGCGGTGCCTGCCGGTTCGGCTGTGGTGTAAGAAGATGAACCTGTCATCAGAGGTGACACCTGCCACACGGACATGGAGTGTGCCTGGCCCTCCCTCTGTGTGTTGGTCAGATTGCTTCTGATCAAAACGTTGGGAGAAATCAGGGCTGAACACACGGCTGGGAATGAAAGTCTTTCTCAGATTATGGGTCTGCTTTTGTGCTCTAGAAGATGGACTGTAGTGAGTGATCTCTGTCTTGGTTACTTTTCTCTCGTTGCTGAGACAAAATACCCAGCGCCCAGAATGAAGGAAGGCAAAGTTTATGTAGCTCACAGTTTGTGGCGGGTTCAATCCATAATCAGCTGGCTCCAAGTGAAGGGCAACAGTTGAAGGCGGCAGAAGACAGCACAAGGGGAGGAGGCACAAGCCTCTCTTCCTCCCTTGCATTGTAAAGAGGCTATCCATCCAAGGGGCGTGTAGCACTCCCATAATCGCCACGCCCTCATCTTAGTCTTGCACAGGCTCGCGATGACTACAAAGTAAGCACCCTGGCCCCCTGCTCAGGCACCTAGTTAACCTTCTGAACTTCTCAAATTGACAATGAACAACGTCCCATAGGAGTAAGGGCATGTCCTTTTCTCCCCAGGATGTAGAACTGCGGAGTCACTTAGCCAAACCTCTGGACTCCTCAAGTTGGCACAATGTATCAACCATAAGAATCTCCTGGTTTGCAAATTTTTTAAAAACTCATTGTAACATTTTTCTTGTAGTGGTTCAGATATTGTTTAGGTGTTTTGCAAAGAACCTTAGCCACCTGGACCTTGCTGTCAGGAGGCATGTCTGATGGAGAGATCACTGGGTCATCTTTACAGCTCAGAGCGGGGGGCCTCATCTGCTTCCCAGGGGCCCAGCAGTCTCTTCAGGCCGGGGAGGTGGTCACCGTGCTGTGGCTTCAAACTGAAATTGGTTGATGGCACAGCGGGTAGCGTGTGTGTGGCTCTCACCTACAGCTGGTCTTCCAGATTGCTGTCTACAGATTTGCCCATTTTTCTACGTGCAGATACTGAAATTTAGTTAAGTGTGGCAAATGAATAGAGACCAAGAAGTAAGAGATTCGCTGATGTCTGGGGTGCACGATAGTGTTATTTATATTGTACTCACCGTTGACGTGCGAGGCAAGGCCACTGTCCATAGGAAGCAATCACTTTATCCCTCCTTGCTTTTTTGTTTCATAACTGAAGTGGAACCCACTGGAACCTGTGTCACTGATTTCAGTCTTGGAGTCAGGAAAGTGTCTGAGAGCCACTTTCAACCCCGTCCTGGGGAGCAGCAGTGGGGGTCTCGGTGGCTGGGACAAGACTGAAGAAGCTGAGAGTGAGCAGAAGGGCAGGAGACCCTGTGGTGCGCGCTTCCAGGGAGGCAGGCAGGAGCGTCTTACGTGAGGGCTCCTGCTAGAAGAGAGGCGCAGGACGAGAGCACGTGTGGCTGTCACCGTGATGGGCACCGAGGCACCACTGCTGAGCAGCGAGGGAGAGGTCAGGTCCAGACCCGAAGCCAGAGTAGCAGCGTGAGGTTCTGTGACTCCACGTCCCGGTGTGTGATTTGCACAGATCTCCCGCTGTTCAGGGAGTTGACCTGGTTTGTTTTGGTGAACTTTAATTCGGTGAGAAATTGATTGGTGAGGTTCATTTCACTGTGTGCTGTGAACAGGTCTTTCCAGTTCACAAAGTTAACACAGGTAGCTGGACACCTAAACTGTTTTCAGTATCCTTTTAAAAACAAATCATCTACATAGAATACTAGAAAAGCTGCCTAAAGTCCTTTTCCAGGAGGAAGCCTGTGCGTCCAGTAATGAATACACTAAATCTCAGTGTTTGTAAAATGCACACGGCGGGGGGAGACAGCTTAGGAGAGGCTCTCGGTGCAACACCACTCCTCCTCCTCCTGCTTACCTCTTCTTCCTTCTTTCCTCCCCTGCATTGAAAGGATGAAGGAAATGCACTGTGACTTTCTGCAGCAAGCAGGCAGGTTGTCTGACATGTGCTTCATGTCTGTGTATTTACAAAGGTGAGGAAAGGTGGGGCTGGGGTCTAGAATCGCACCTCAAGATGAGCCGTGCCAAAGCTCCGAGAGCGCGTGCCTTGTGTTTGTGAGGCCAGGTTTCCGTGCGGAGCTCAGGCAACAAACAGGTGAACCCAGAGACGGTTGCTGTCTAGGTTCTTCTGTTTCGTATATTGTATATATGAGACTCCAGGCCACTTGCTTTTTCGCTTTGAACTTCCCTGTAACACCTCAGTATCGAAGACCTACACAATGGCAATGGTAAAGAAATAGCGTAGGCGCCTCTCAGAGGCTCCGGTCAGTCAGCATGGTTTTCCGTTCAGCTTTTCACTTAAGTTTTCTATATAGTCAACTTCGTTACCATTAGATTCCTTCATTTGCTATCTTTTGAAGAACTTCTGATTTTTTTACCATCTACATTTAAAAATTTTTTAAAGAATTAAACAGTGTCTTTATCTCTCTGGGAAGGTGCAGAGCTATCCTAAGGATTTAAGCTCAGCTATTTTCTCTTTACTTAAAAAGATTTTATTCAGGGCATTTTAAAAAATTCTGGGTCTTCTTTGTAGTATAATTGTATGTATTTTAAATACCCACAGTTGATCATGATGTACAAACATCCACAATGTGCACAATATTGCATCCTTCCATACAGTGACATGAGCTCTTGATTTAATTCAGACAGAAACAAACAAGCCACCGGCATACATTCTTATGCTTTTTCTGAATAAGACTGTGTAAAAGTCTTAAACTTTGAGATCATGAGGATTACAGTTTAAGTAGTGAAAGGTTTGAGACAGTGACCGCTGTCTTTTTAAAAGCAAGTCTAAAGGGCTGGGGATTTAGCTCAGTGGCACAGCGCCTGCCTGGCAAACGCGAGGTCGTGAGTTCGATTCCCGGTACTAGAAAAAAAAAAAAACTATATGCATTGTTAATAAATACTTTTTTGCTTGCTCGTCTTCAGCAGCTAGTTTTTACAGTGTGTGGTCTGTGCCAGGCATTGCAGCTGCACGAGTGCTACAGTGGCGGTGTGTCAGATCCACAGGCTGGGCCTTGGAGAGGTGTCCCGTACAGTGGGACAGGGCTGGACATCCTGGTTCCAGGTTAAGATCTTTCAGTAAGGGAGGAGCAGAAGGCTCACTGCCCCATCCAGGCAGCTCGTGATGGTATCAAGGTTGCGTGAAATCCGTTGCTGTGTTTGCATTCAGTCAAAATGTCACGGTCTGGTGAAATACATAATAGAAATGGTAGCTGTCTTTCTATAGAAACTTCTAAATTTATATAATTCATTCCCAAATGAAGCATCAGCCTCAGTATCATATCACTGTATCAAAAGGCGGGGAGTTCCGTGAGTTTTCGTCGCCTACCTGCCAGGTGTGACTTACTCTGTTTATGCTTTTTTGTGCTAATGAAGCGATCACTTGTTGCACAGCCTTTTGAGGTCTGAGAGCAGTCGGCTTGCTCATCCGGTCACTGTCACTTGTTTCTGCAGGAGCTTCAGTGAACATTATCACTGTCTGTGCAAAGCGGTACGTCACCTAGCAACCGTTGATTGTATTTTCTCCCTGGCCAAGGTCGCTAAGCAAGGAGATTACTGCAGGTAATATGTTTTCTTTATCCCCGTCCTTTATCTTTGCTTCTGATAAAATGCCATTATACAATTAATTTTAGTTTCTTTGCTATAAAATATTGCAGTTACTTAAATGTGTTAAACTCTTGATTTAAAAATAGCAAATCCGTTTTTTGGTTCTGTTTCCAAGTTCAGTGAAAGCAGATGTTTGCTGTGACTAAACCTAGAGTGAACGCGAGGCTTTCATTTCTAAGTTAACGCAGACGACATTTTTATAGAGTGTGAGCTGCCCTTTCATTGGTTAGATTGACGTGAGCACTGCACGGCCTGTGGGATATCCAGCGCTAAAAGCTTGATGAGGGACACAGGGACCGAAGGGATGGGGCGTCTCTGCTCTTTTCTGCCCTGCATAGCCCACTGTGCTCCCATGGCCTCCAACATTCCATCACGCTTCGGTCGTCTTTTCAGGAAGGACGTTAGCATGAAGCAGGTCAAACTCTTGAGTCGCAGCTCCAGCGTGGGCCGCTTTGGTGGATGGATGGATGGACGGATGGGTTAATGTCAGAAGAATTAGGAGCATATGTAGCTCACTGACTTACCTTGAGAGCTAAAAAAGCATATACAAAATGTGATTGAGAAATCGTGAATGTTTAAAATTTTTTAAAGGTTTGAAATTTTTAAACAAGTGTATTACAGTGAAAGACGCATTGCCGTGAACCGCCCTCACAGCCCAGCCGTCCCTCTGAGCACGCTCGCCCCCTTTCCATGCCACTGTCTGTGGCAGCTCAGGAGTCCTCTTTCCCGCGCATCTTCAGGTGTGCTGTCCCGGCTGCCTCGGTGTCCTGGTTCATTCACAGTGCTGGCCTTTCACCGTCATTTTGACTTGGGGAAGAGCCAGAAGTCACACGGTGCAAATCTGGCGAATAAGGCACATGGGACACAGCACCATGTTTTTACGAGCTGCCTTTCCATTGGGTGGAGCTTGGCGGCAGCAGTCACCGTGTTTTTGATCACACCTCTAAAAGGCACTCAGGAAGAGGACTCCAGATCCGCTGCAGCGTGGCGAGATCGGGGGAGTGCGTGTGTTCAAAGCCAGGAATATTCTGAGGGGAATGAATAGCGTGTGTCCTTTGCTGTAATACATTTTAAAAACTTAAACGTTCACAATGTATTTTCTTTCCCTTCTTTACTCATACATGTTCATGGTACACAATCAGTACGGTCGTCCTGCGGAGAGTTGGCTCATGTGCACGTGCATCTCAGTCCTCTTTACGTCCCCTGACCTCGCTTCCATTGCCCCCGTGCCCAGACCCCCTTCCGTCCCCGCAGAGTCTGCCTCCCTGTCTTCTGCAGTCTCCTGCTGGCTCCTAAGTATTTATATGTTGAGTTTCTCATGTAAGAGAAACGTGGGCTATTTAACCCCATACCTTGATTTATTTCACTTCACCTTATGGTCTCAGGGTGCATCCATTTTTCTGCAGGTGACTCAGATTTATTCTTCGTTATGGCAGAGTAGCACTCCATTGTGTGTAAACACCACATTTTCTTGATCCATTCATCTGTTGATAGACAGATAGGCCGCATCCAAGGCTTGGCTATTGCACACTGTGCTGCTGTAAACACGAGTGCACATGGATCGCTATGATATGATGTCTTTAACTCTTTTGGGAGACACCTAAAAGAGGTATATCTTGGTAATGAGACCCCCAAATTAATAGAGCAAATAAAAAAGGGGGAGAACTGAACTTAGATGAAGTACAAAGGCCAATAGAGACATGAAATGCTCCATGTGGCTGATCATTAGAGAAATGCAAGTTAGAACACACTCACATTCCATCCTACTCTGGAAGGGAAGGCCATCATCAAGAAATCGAGCAAGAACAATTGCTGGCGAGGCCGTGGGGGAAATGGACCCTTATGCAAGGCTGGTGGGAGTGTAGGCTGCTGCAGCCACTGTGGAAATCAGCGTGGGGATCCTCAGAAAACTAACAGTGTAACAGTGGGAATTCTACTCCCTGCCTGCGTTGGCGTCTGTGATGCTGCCCGGTGGTGGCTGTGTCAGAGGGCCACAGGCAGGCTTTGCTGCTCGCACTTCTTTCTTTCTTTTTCTGTTTTTTTTTTGGTACTGGGTATCGAACTCATGACCTCGCGCTTGCCAGGCAGGCGTTGTGCTGCTGAGCTATATCCCCGACCGTATTGCTCTTTTTTCATGTCTGTTTCCGCTCTGGTTTGTACTTTTTTATACTTAAGCATCTTCTGCATCTGTTACACATAAGTGTCCTACAGTACCCACTAGGCAGTAGATTTTTAAAAAGTTTGTAAGTATAGCGTTTCTATATTTGTGCAAGAACAGTTAGAGGCATTGGCTTTACAAATTATGCACCCTAAATGGAGTTGTATTGTTTCACTTTATGTACTGTCCCTTTGTGATGCCAGCAGCACTGTCTTGTTTAGACAGGGTCTTCACATTTTCATCATTGCTTCATTTTTCTCCAGAGGGATGTGAGCAGACACAGGTTTGCCTGGCCAGTGAGCTGCAAGCTTTTTAAAGCTGAAGTGGGAAACAGGAAACAAGAAATCTATCTGAAAGCATTTTATACCATGTTGCATACTAGTACTGAAATTTAGGCATATTTTCTTAAATTGACAGTTTGCTTAAAATCTTAGTGTAGGTTGATCAATTACAATTCATTCAGATTGATCATTTGCTTCCATAATTACAGTTAAAATTTTTATTCACTGTGGTTTAATCTCTAGGAAAAAGTTTTTATTCTAAGTCTTGTTATCTGATTTGTATTCTGGACATTATACTGTTTCACTAATATAGATGATATTCTGGGGCAGTTAAAAGAGCAGGCTGTAATTTTAATACAAAGTACAGTATAAGTGTACCTGTTTAAGTGCGGATGGTTCATTTTGTGCCGGAAGATTTCCCCTTCTGTCCCCTTTCCAGCTGTAAGACATCGTCAGCGCGCATCACCTGTCCTTCACAATGTGGCTCTTCTCTCCCTGGGACTGGGACTGTTCGGCCCAGCTCTGGACTTCCCTTCGCTGCCGACTCTCCCGGGAAGTGTTTTGTTGTTGTATAGTTTTGAGTGCAGCAGAATAAGGCGCGGTTTAGAATGCAGCCAGCCGCTTAGAATGTTACCCAAAGTCAGCCTCTGCTGAGAAGTCGTGGTGGTGTCCTGGATGTGATGTGTTGATGGCCCCTGGCAGAGAAGCTGGGATTTTATTTTAAAATTGATGTCACTTACAAGTACTTGCCAGTTTTTTCTCTTGTAGCAAATCCGTAACCCAGCTACATAAAAGTCCTCTCTTTCAAATTAGATTCTAAATTCCCCAAAGTCTACTTTCATTGTAATTTTGTGTGTTTCCTCCCAGGAATGATGTGGGACATTTTCTGTCTTTCATCATATTTGTTCACCAACATCTTGTTGATATGTGTGTAGGTGGACAGCCAGAAGATCGGAAGGAAACCAGTGATGTAGAAATGCGAGTCTTCACTTGCTGGATTATTCTAATTTTTTTTTTTTTTCCCAGTACCGGGAACCGAACTCACGACCTTTGTGCTTACCAGGCAGGCGCTGTGCCGCTGAGCTAAATCCCCAGCTCAGCGTGGGTTTGTTTTGTTTGTTTTTTTTTTGTTCTAATTTGTGTTTGTAAATCAAAAGTGAAAATGTTTTGCAGTTATGGAGCAGACAATAGCTGTGCTCTCTTCAAGAAACTATGGGGTTTTAGCAGTTTCACAGAATTCTGCAACCCTTGCATTTCCTGGATGCAAGTGTGAGACAAACCCGTACTAACAAACTAGAACTCACTGGAAACGTATCGAAGCTTGGAATTTAGTATCTGTAAGTGAACACAGCCCAGGTGCCTGTGGACAGCTTCGGAGCTGTGTTGCCCATCCCAGGCATAGATGAATAAAAATGTGAGATTGCTGTGCTAAGGGCTGGGGCTGGGGCTCAGGAATGCCTGGAATGCACAGGGACCTTGGTTCAGGGCCCAGCACCACAGACTTAAGTTTTTGGAGATTTAAAAATAAACTCTTGGTAAAATTTGTTATGAGGTCGTTTTTTTTTACTATCCCTTTATTTGCATGTCTGTAAAATTATTTGTAAAATGGACTTTATATAAATAAGAGTCCATTGCCATCAGATGGTAGGTGATGATTTTTGTGTGTGTCCTGGTGGTTCAGATACACTACTGAGCAGAGGTGGAAGGCTGTAGTAGCAGCATCTATGACAGCGGTCACAACCAGTGAGTGCCGGTAGCGCAAGGGCATGAGGAAGGTTAGGAAGGGGGCCACAGGCTGACCTCATGATAACGGCCAGGGAGCGGCAGGAGAGAGCTGGGTGATGGGGTCAGGGGGCGAGCCGAAGCCACAGAGGGAAACAAGCAGACACAGAGGCCTGGCCGGGAAAGGAGCCGCAGTGCCAAAACATCTTTTTGTGTCAAAACATGGAAGATATAAAAAACCATAAAAAGATCTTCCACTTAAACAGAATATGAAAATTTTAGTGCAGTCTGTCTTCAAATCCAACACATAACATTGTTTATACTAAGGCAGTAATTAAAGCAAGAAGTTATTTTACCTGATTTTATTTTGTTTATTACTAAAAATAAATACCAGTAACTGAACTACAATCTTTAGTAAAGAAAATATTTCTTTGATCTTAGGCAATAATAGACAAAGAACGTCTTATAAAGGGCAGCTGCAGAAGAGCGCCATCATAAGACTGCGAAAGTCTGTGCTTCAGTGCACTGCGTTCCCAGGGCTTAATTTACAGTGAAAATCGAACATTCGTTCCTAGTCTTACTCTGGACTTGTGTTCCTTCCTTTTTTTCCTTTTTCTTTTTCTTTCTCTTTCTAAGGACATAATATCTTCTTGTTTATTCTGTTTTTACTTTTTTCACTGGTCCACGTTTGCGGTACCCAGTGTTACATCCCTTGTGTGCGGTGGTCCGTGGACACGACACGCCCAGCTTGTGTTTTTCATTCCCTTTCCTCCCTCCCGCCCTCCTGCCTGCGTCTCTTGAGCCCATTCCCATTTGAGCAGGATCCGTCCCCCTACTCCCAGTGACCTTTATTTTGCTCTTTATTTATAATTTAGTTTTCTCATATGAGAAAAACCACATGGTATTTAAGCTTCTGTGTCTGATTTTGTTTCACCCAACATTATGGTCTGTGGGTACATCTATTTTTTAACAAATGACCTAAGTTTATATTTCCTTATAACAGTAGTGCTCCATAATAAACATGTAAATATCACGTTTAAATACCTCATTTTCTTTATCTAGTCTTGTGTTGAGGGAAATATAGGCTGCTTCCAAGATTTAGCTATTACGTGGGTGTGCATGGATCACTGTAATATGATGTCATTAACTCTTTTGAGAAGCTTCCCAGAAGGGGAACAGCTGGGTCAAATGGAATGTCTAGTTCCAGTTTTTTGAGGAATCTCCATACTGATTTTCATAGTGGTTGTACTAATTTACATTCCCATCAACAAAGTACAAGCGTTGCTTTTTTCCCACAGCCTTGCCAGTGTTTGTTCTTATTTAATTTCTTGATGATGGCCAATCTTTTTGGAGTAAATGATATCTTAGTGCTGTTTTAATTTGTGTTTCTCTATTTATTTATTTATTTATTTATTTTTGTGGTACCGGGGATTGAACTCAGGACCTTGTGCTTGCCGGGCAGGTGCTTGTGCCAATGAGCTATATCCCTGGCCCCTAATTTGTGTTTCTCTAATGGCCAGAGATGATGAACATTTTTTCATGAATTGTTCAGCCATTTGTACTTCTTATTCTGAGAAGTATCTGTTCATTTCACTTGCCCTTTTGTGACTGGGTCTCTTATTTGGAGGGATCTCATTTTCTTGAGTTCTTCATATATTCTAGATATTAGTCCTCCGAGGAACAGCTGACAATGTTTTCCCTGGTCTGTAGGTTGTCTCTTCACTGTGTTGGTGGTGTCTTCTGAGCAGAAGCCTTTTCATTGGATGTGATCCCATTTGTTGGATCTCAGAACTATTTCCGGTGCAACTGGGGCTCTGTTCAGAAAGTCAGGACTTGTGTTCTTTGTGTCTAAGGTTTGGTTTTTTGTTTACAGAGCTATTGCCATGACTTTAAGCTGAAACATAATTTCTTTCTGCAGGCCAACCGTAAAAGAAGAAAGGAAAATCATAATAAAGAATGGAAGGCACCCCGTGATTGACGTGCTGCTGGGAGAACACGATCAGTACGTCCCCAACGGCACCAGTCTGTCAGTAAGTACCACGCTCCACTGAAAAACAAGTCAAAGATCGTAACATCCACCCCAAGCTTTTGAAAATCAGATGAACACTTTTTATAATTCGGAGTTGCACAAGTTGTAACTTTGCCTTTAAAGGGTATAACTTTATGTTCACTACCAAGATGAAATTGGTAGTTTACCATGAAAACTGTAGCAACTAATGAGGATGATTTCAGTTAGGTCACTCAATAAGAATACTTTGTGTTCACAAGCACTTGAATATGCCGAAGAGGTTGGAATCCTGCCATGGTTTTGGAAATTGCGACCAGCACATAGTGTTGGGTGCTGTGTCCCGGGGTCCAGAGTTCTTGGGTGAAGACTCACCCGGGTTTCGGGGACCAGGCCTTTCGTTGCATGCACCGTGGTCATGCGTGTTCACTCCCCGACCGTGTGCTGCCCCAGGCAGCTGGGGAGCAGGGCGCGGGCAGGCGGGTGTCCCCGCCCTCGCACGCTGCGTCTGACAGTGAGGGGGACAGGCGGACACACCCCGTGGGAGTGGGACCAGGTGTGCTAGGAGAGGGGAAAAGAGGCCTGAGTCACCGGGACAGCCCTGAGAGGGCGCGCGCTGTGCAGCTGGGGGGGGCATGGGCTGGGAGTTCGGTAAGGGCCTCGTGGCTCGCTGCCAAGAACCAGCTTGAGAGAGCCCAGAGGTAACGGTCGCCCAAGGGCGAGGCTTGGGGATGCGCAGGCGTGCCGGCTCCTGTCCCCAGCAGCGCTGGTAACGTGGCCCTGGTCCCCGGGTGCAGCTGCACTGGGAGGGGTGTTTCAGTGGGTCTCTGATGAGGATAGTGGCGGTCGGATTCCTTCAGGCTGTCCTGGCAGCAGGGAGCAGGCCGGCCTAGCCCAGTGGGGGTGTGGGGAAGCCCGGGAGAGGGTCCCCTGCAGGGTGGGGAGGCGGAGGGAGGGGCCCCCTGGCATGATAGAGTGAGGAAGCACGGGCCGGAGGTGCTGCTGAGGTCGAGCAGCGTGGGGGGGCGTGTGCAGACCGGAAGCGGCCACTGCTCAGGAAGAGAGTCAGTGTGTTCCTAAGGGACCAAGGACACAGGCAGAACTGACTGGAGGCGGGAGACGAGAACCTGTGGCAAGGCACGTGTGGCGCACGCCGAAGAGCCAAGTTCAGGCGTAAGGACAGGCTTCGGTGAGGGGACGAGCCCTTCGGGAGTGAGTGTCACGGCTGGGGAGTGTGAGACGCACTGCGTTTGCTCGCGCAGTGCAGGGAGCGCACCCTGGTTCCTCCAGGAGGTGCGAGGAGGGAATCTGTACCCCAAGGCGCTGGAGACAGATTCACCACGGCTCACTTTCCGAAGCAGCAGCTCTCAGAGAGGCTGCAGGGGCCTCTGCCTGCCACCCAGTCGGACTAGAGACAGGGATCCCTCCCTCCTGGCATGGGACGCCATCCCAGGCAGTGCTGGAGCGGCCTGGGGATATCCCAAGAATGCAGCTGCAGTGGAGAGGCCACGTGTGGCCAGGCTGCACAGGCAGGGCGGACAGGGACGCTCGCCCTCGATGTGTGGTGTCCACAGGCCGAGCCCGAAGGGGAGCCTGGCTGGAGTGAGGTCCAGGAGGGTCTCGTCTGCAGAGGAGGAGAGTGCGGCGGGCAGGACAGGCAGTGGGGAGCGTCAGAGCGGGAGGCGCCTCTTGCCCGATGCCTGTTGAGGGTGCGCGCTGTCCCTCTGCTCAGGCTGGCGTGGCGCTGTGCTAGACGGGCACCGCGTGAGCCGCAGCAGTGACTGCTCCTCCTCCAGGAGGCTGAGGCCGGGTGGTGGGGCCTGGAGAGGGCGTTTCTGGCTCTCAGTGGCGCCTTCTCAGGGTCCTCACAGACCAGAGAGGGGAGGCCCTGCCTCAGGACCCTGTCACCCCACAGCACCTTCCTGACACCCCCATCGTGGAGCTGGAATTTCAGGGTGTGCATCGTGGGGATGCCAGCACCTAGGCCGGAAAACCGCAGGCCCTGTGTCTGTAAGCTTGTTCATTTCCGTTAGAAGACTTGTTTGCTATTAATCAGTAGCAATCAAGCAAATTAATCAGTAGCAATCTTTATTAGTCTTTACATTGTCTTTACAAAGAAGCCTGTGAGAGCATGAGAATTCCTTTTTTAGTTCCCATAACGCCAAGAGGGCGTAGCTTCTCTTGAGAAAGTAACATAGGGCTGGTATTTGGGAGCTTGGTTTATATTTAACGTATACATCACCTCAACACTTCTGCCCTGGTTCCCTGCCTGGGCGCCTGAGCCCTCAGCACTGACTGCTTTTGTGTCTTTGCTTTCTCTCCTTCATTCTCCACCCCTTCTTTTAAACAAGGTATTATATTGTTTAATAAAGTAAGATTTGAAAAACAGCCTTCTAATTAAAAGGCGTTTTAAAGAAACACTGAGCTCTTACATTTGAATCTTTACAAAATAAGCAGAGTGAATTTTTCGAGCAGACACCTCAGAACATTCCAGAAGACTCATTTCTTTTACATACGCTTTTTCTAACTTGAGTAGGAGTTGATATGGAGCTGTTGCTATGGTGAGGTGCCTTCCACTTTTTGGTGTATAAATTTATATATAGGATGCGTGTCGAGAAAGAATTTAGGATGTAAAACTCACTCAAAAATAATTAAGGTTACTGATTTGTAAGGCAGACCTTCAAAAGGATCCCCTCCACTTTTGGTGGCGTTGCCACTTTCGATAATTGTGTTGCTTTCAGAAACAGCTTCTCACACACATAGATGACAGGGTGCTTTCTGCACTGCATTCTGAGAAATCACTGTAGTGCTGCCGAGCACCCAGCACCGCTTTCCTCTCTGTTTGCAGGAGACCTGAGCCCCCCTAGTCCTGGTCCTGTCCCCAGCTCACCGGGTATGGCAGGCATTTATTCGTCAGGCAGCCCTTGGCTCCCATTCATCCCTGAGCCACAGCCCCCTAGCCTGTCTGTCACTGTCCCCTTTGAACAAGCGCTGGCCCTCCTGGCCACGTTGGGCCCACACCGTGTGCCCGTGGGCACGGGCAGATGGTTCTGGCCGCCTAGAACCCCTCCCTGCCCGCCTTTGCGCCTTCTACCCCTGCGCTGGCCGCCTCTCCAGGCTCAACCTGTGTGTGTCCCTTCCACGAGGCCGTCCCTCACCACAGGTGGGTGCTCAGTGTCTCCACACCTTCATAGTCACCCTGCCTGGCCAGGTGCTTTTCTGGCTGTATTTCCCGCAGGCTGTAAGCTGGAAGAGAGCAGGGAAGAGAGCACCTCTTTCATGCGGGTGTGACCCTCATACCTGTCACACGCTCTGACAGAGCAGGAACCTAGTCAGATCTGTTAAGGAAGGATTAGCTGGAAGCTTCCAGCAGGCTCCGAGTCTCACGTTACGATTTTGTCTTTTTGTTCCCTCCATAAAATGTTACTTTTTCAGATGCTCTGTTGAGATTTCAGATTGCAGAATAATTTTTCTGTAACACTAGACAAGAAATTCAGGATCTTGTACTCACACCCATCAGTCTACTGAGTCCCACGGTGGGAGGTAACTTTCTAGAGGTTGGCCAGGTTGGATAGTCTTGGGCCATTGTCATGGTTCAGATCTAAATGTCGCCCCTCAAAGTTCAGGTATTCACAGGTGAAAGGGTGTTGGATCGTGGGGTGCTGTGCTCCCTGTCAGCAGATTGATCTGTGGATGAATTCATAGCTAAATGTGCTGTCAGGAGGTGGAGCCTGGCTGGGGGAGGTGGGCCACTTAGGGGTGTTACCTGGAAGGGTGTATTCTTGTCCCCAGCCCCTTCCCCTCTTGCTGGCTCTCTTCTCTTCCCCTCTCCCTGCCCCTGTCCCTGCCCGTGCCCCTGACCCTGTCACTGTCCCTGTCCCTGCTTCTGACCACAGTGAGGTAAGCAGCTGTCCTCCACCATGTTTCTGCCTTGGAGTCGGCTGATCGTGGACTGCACCCTCTGAAACATGAGCCAGTATAAATCTTTCCTCCTACAGTTGCTGGTGTCTGATATTTTGTCACAGTAATTGAAAGTTGACTAGTGCAACTCTCCCTAAACATAGGCCTGATATAAGTAAGTTGGTGTTTTCCAGCCTTTTTCACTTCCCAGCCCAGGGGACATGGTGGCATTTTGATTGTGCACAGGACTAGAAGGAGAAGGCCGAGGCTTCCTGAGAGATGAGGGTGTTGACCCTGGTCAGCTTGAGGCTCGGAGCGCAGCATCTTGGCATGGCTGTAGCCTAGCAGGCCCACCAAGGCAGCCTGCTTGGGCCGTCCCACTCCAACCCCTGCTGTCTCTACTCTGCTATGGCGGCTTCCTCACCGAACCCAATGGCTTTCCCATGGGAGGATTTTTATTAGCAGTTCAAGTTGAGCTTTTGATTGATGTGTTTTTTATTTTGTTTAAATTAAGTAGTATAAGCTGAACTGATGAAGAAAGGCAATTGGGGAGGGAAATGAGTCCAATGGGACTTCAGGGAGCACGTGAAGCCTGTGGATCTCTAGACCCCCGGGACACCCACCGCCGGGGTGTGCTGGAGCCGGGGTCTGGGCCTCCCCTCGGCCCCTCAGCCTCCTCAGCCTCTGCACAGCGTGTGACGTGTGTGACACTGGGGTGCTTGATGCTGGTGAAGATGACGACGGGCTTCCTCATTGCAGATACTTTGGCTGCCCCAGGAGTGCTTGTTTTGGCTGTGTAAGATTACGGGCAGGACGAATGAGAGTAGCACTCGTAGGCTGGGGACTCTGTGCCTGCTTACCGAGCAGAAGAGCAGTGACTCATGCCGTAACCCGGCCAGGACTTCAAGCTTAACTTCACGCTGTGGCTGGATTATTCTCGCAGATTCTGAAAGGAATCCCTCTGTCATGTAGCACGCTACCTGGGTCCTGAGCCCGGGGGTGAACATTAGAGGGAATGGTGCCTGGGCATTGCTTTCTGTGACTTCTTCTCCCACATCCCTCTCTTCTCACTTGTGAAACAATAAGACGGACGGAGAAGGATAGTTGCATGGGGAAGGATTATTT